AAAAACATGTTCAAGAAAAAAACTACTCTAACATTTTTCTAAAAGAATACTCTGCACATTATTGGATCTCTGTTCACTTTCATCTTAATTACATTGATGGTTTCCTTTTAAGTCTTTTGTATTAACGTGAAATGAAAATGAAATGAACTCTCTAAAGTATATGTGTTAACAATGTCTTGCAGGGTGGCAGCACACTTGTTTTGTCTACAGCAGCAGCAACCCCACTAGTGACTCAAGCAGCTGCGGGGCTTATCCAGACTTCAATAGCGGTACCCCAGCCACCGCTCCCAGCTCTGTTTAGACAACCAACGGGAATGCACCTTCCTCATTTTCCGGCCAACTATATTCCTTATGGCCACTATTTTCATCCGTTTTATCCTCCTCCAGCAATGCATCAATTCTTTAGTAGTGGTGCATTTCCTCAGCAACCTCAGGCTGGCAGTGTGTATCAACAACAACCTTCTCCAGCACCAACTCCTAAATATTCTCTCTCTCAATATAATAATAATAATAAGCAGCAGCAGCAGGGTGGAGCGAATGCTCCAAACCCAACTTATATTGGACTTCCCGGTAGCTATGGACCCTATGGCTCTGCAACTGCCAATTTCAATCCCACGTTAACAACCACAGCTGGTAACCCAACATCAAATGAAGATCGTCCTGCTTCACAGTTCAAAGAGAATAATAACGTTTATGGCGGCGGTCAACAGGTTTTCATCTTCTCTAGATACAACTCACTCTCTCTCTCTCTTTCTGCAGTTGAGGCCTGTGGGATCTTCTATTGAGCAGTTATTTGTTTGATTGCAGAGTGAAGGATTGGGTGTTTGGATAAGTGCAGCGGGTCGGGATATCTCCAGCTTGCATGCTGGTTCATTCTACAATCTTCCACCTCATGGTCAAGTGACATTCTCGCCGACGCAGCCCGGGCATGGAACCTTTGCCGCTGGCATTTATCACCCGACTCCGCCGATAACGCCCCCAACCGGTCACCCACTTCTGCAGCAGTCCCAGAACATATCCGTTCCCAATGAAATGGCGGGGCCCACAGCCAACATCTACCAGCAGCAGCATTCGCAGATTAACTGGCCAGGCAGCTATTAAACAAGGAATAGGTTACCTTTTGATAATTCTTTCGTAATGCAATTGGCAGTGACTTTGGACAGAGGAGGAAACCGGTCACGACGTACTTTAATTCGCAGATAAAAAAAAAGACGAAAAGGTGGCAAGAAAAAAAACTTTCAAAACTTAAAAAAAAATATTTTTTTCTTAATAAAAGATCTATTTTTTTTGGATTGGCTGGTGGGTGGGGTGGGTAGTAGGGTGGGAAAGGTTAAAATCCTCCTCCAAGTCTCCAACAGATATGGTGCCAATTGTAAATTACTAGTTGAGCTCTCCTGTTATATTGTCTGGGTTTGCCTTTCCCCGTAGTTAGTCCCTCTAAGTATCGAAGCTAGGAAAGTTGCGACGTTCGTTTTGCTTTTCCGACTGTTTTTTTGGAAGGTTAAGAAGGAGAACTCTGGAAAGAAGCGAGGTTTTGGGGGTGCTTTCTTCGTTTTGTTTAGGAGGCTTCTTTGGTTTTGGGTTTGTCATGCTTCCCAGAGTTTTTACCTGTAAAGTTGATTTTTGGTGAGAAGAAAGGGGTGTGCACTCTAATTTGTTGTACTTGGTGATGGGTATAAGCACCAACAGAAAAAGAAGTGGCATTAATTATTTCACTCTTTTTTTTTATATATTAAAAAGATTAGTCGAACGGATGATGGTTTCAGTTTAGTGCTTGCTTGGTTTTTTTATGGGAGAAAGATCAAAGTAGCACTAAGAGTATCTCCAATGGATATGCTAAAAATTGGAAAGCTAAATGCTATTTTAGCTTCCCAATACTGATTTAGCATTCTACTTTTTCACCACCTCTCCAACCATATCATTTATTTTTTAGATTTTTTTATTATTTTAGAATTATTTTACATTAATATTTTTCCACCAAATTTTCTATAGCAAAGAAAGCTCTGAGTTATGTTCAATATGGAACAAGGAGATGACCCACAAAATCATGAATCAACCCTCAATTTTGAATCAATAATACAAAAACTGAATAAAAATTGAGAATGCGATAGGAAATTTTTGATTAAAAAATAGCTCTCTGACTTTAGTGTAAAACGAAACTCAAATCAATAAAGATAAAAGAAATTTTGATGAAAGTAGTAATACATGTGAAATTGGCGGTGACCCTGTACATATAACTAAGGTTGAAGTAGTATGATTTATTATTCCCTCCGTTCTAAAAAAGAGTTTCTAGTTTGACTAAGTGTAAAAATAAAAAAGTGTTAAATTCTAGCTGACTTTCAATTTTGTCATTGATGTGATAAGTAAAATAAGATGTGATAATAAATTACTCCCTCCGTCCTAAAATTATTTTCCCATTTTGACTTTTGCAGTCAAAGTTTTTAAACTTTGACTGCATATTACGGAAAAAATATATTGATTTTTCATATAAATTTAGTATCAATAGATTCATTTTGAAACATAATTTTGAAATATATTATTTTGATAATATATATTCATTTAAAAATGGAGATATTAATGGTCAAAGTGCCGCATTGGAGACCATGATAAGTCAAATGAGAAGTTAATTTTAGGACGGAGGGAGTAATAAAAAAAGTGTAATGTGATAGAAAGGGTATAAAAAAGTAAGGATAAAAGTAGTTTTTAATAGAAAGTGGAAGTGTTTTGTTGGAAGTAGAAAAAAATGAAAGAGGAAGCGTTTTTTGGAACGGAAGGAATAATACGGAGTATTTTATTTATAGCATATGAATAATGATCATCTATATATAGAGTATGTAAAGTTAAAAATAACTAATGCTCTAAAATTTAAATGACCCATTGGAGCTCTACTTTATTTTCAGTAAAGTGTAAACCATTTATTTTTTAGATGATAAAGGGTGCATTGGAGTTGCTCTAAAACATTGAAAATATACCAAAATAGGACTTCCATGTTTTTATTCCTGAAATAGGACTTACATTACCAAACGTAATCATATACATTTCAAAAAAAGTATAATAATTTGCACGTGTACACTGTCACATTACCACAATGCAAAGTTACATTACCACAGTGTAAAGTCATATTCTGGGAAAAAACATGAAAGTCCTATTTTCATACTTTTCTCTATGTTTTAGTCCTATTTAGGATGATTTCTATTTTTTTATTCAATGAAATGAAGATATAAATGAGGACATGTTATTAATTGTTTGTTTTGTTTATGAAAAATGTTTGGGGAACCTCACTTTGGGTACACCAGATGTACACTGAGCAAAAATAGACACATAAAAATACTTAATTTAGACATTGAATGTCTATGTACCTTTTTTGCCTTTGTGTAGTTTGGTGTATCCCAAAGTGAGGTTCTCCCAGCACTCTCCGAAAACCCATTTGTTTATTTGTGACCGTTTCCGTTGTAAAAAAAAAGTTTCTATTTTGACTTTTGGTAGATTTAAGTTTAGTAATTTGACTTTTTAATTATATCTTTAATGACGAAGAAAATAGAGTGTCAGAATAACTTCAATATGTTGTTATATCAATGCAAAAATTGCAAAATAAATAGACTATATTGCAATGGCTTCATTTAGATATATTAATCGGAGTAATATGTGATTTGAGCATAACTTCGGATATACCTATCAGGCAATGTCATTGGACAAAGTAGCATGCTACACGAATAAACTAGAATATTCATTTTTTTTAATATTGTTACATAGGGAGTATTTTTTTACTATAAATCTCATATGTAAATTTAACCTGGTGTTAATAATCTAAACTCATCGACACTAGATGATGAACTAAATACCTACTCCGTAGTAGTACTATGTTAAAAAAAACACATGCAAAAATTAACATGGAATAACTTACTAACCAAAATTATTAATAACCAAGCACCACTAGTTTTTTCTTCTATTTCAAACTAATATCTCAATTAATATTAATAAATAAATTATATTATACTCCCTTTGTCCCTCATAGATCTTCTCAATAGCCCTTTTTCTTTGTCCACAATAGATCTTCTCATTTCATTTTTTAACAATTAAAATATCACAACTACCCCTACTTACTTTATTTATTACACCTCACTCACCTCATTTAATGAACTCCACCCATTTTTCATTAAGGGTATTATGGTAAAGTTTCACCTTTTTTCAACTTTCCTTAAAAACCACCAAAAGTCAAAATGAGAAGGAGGACGGAGAGAGTCTTTTTACTCATGAAATATAAGTAGAATTTGTTGATATAGTACGTACAAAAGCTAAAGTTAGGTTGTGCACGATCGCTTTTTATCATCGCTGCGCAAGGTCAAATTCGGACGTTTGACTTTTTGCACCCATTGTTTACTATCTATGCTTCTTGCCAATGATAAAACTCACAATAACTATTTTAGGATCACAATAAATTTTGTTTATTGATGTGTGTTAAGTGATCATTTGCTAAAATAATGCGGAGTACACATTATAATAATGTCACAATTTATTTTACAAACTTTTCTACCTTCTTTTGACAACAAAAAATAATGTCATAATATGACAACACCTCCAACCTCCAATCGGACTACCTACGGTGCTTCGATCGTAAAATCGACGGTTCCTACCCTGTAGACTCTCCATCCCGGTCCGCCCCAAATCTATCACTCCAACCCCTTCAATTTTATTCTCCAAATTTATTTGATTTTCTAGTCTAAAAAATTTGACCCAAAAGTCAAATAAATTTTGAGAATAAAATTGAAAGGGTTGGAGTGATGGGTTCGATGTGGACTGGGGTGAGAGGTTTACCTTAGGAATTAGAGACAATAAAAACCATCAATTTTACGATCGAAGAACCGATGGATTGGAGGCGGGGGCTCTTAAAAAAGAATTAAAAAGAAGCTTCTTTTCTCCCTAATTTTTATTTGGAGGGGAGAGAGAGAGAGTATTTATTACTTGGCACTACATAAGCACACAGTACACACCTTCAGCTCAGGCCTCCCATTTCAGAATTCACCGTTTTTCCAGATCCAATCAATTCCATTCTCAGGTATTTCTTCCTTTTTCAGAGCTCCATTTTCAGTCTTAGCTGCCGCTGCTTCAACTTCCTCCATTGTCAAATACTCGCAAGTTTAGAGTTACTATCTCCTGTTTCAATTATAATCCAGATATATGAAACGCAATTGTACATGTTCTTATCTTTGCTGAATTCTTAGACGATCGATTCTCGGAAATCTGAAAACACTACTCTACAGATCTTTTGTTTAGACCTATTGTTTCGAAGATGTGTATGAAGATCTCATGTATTTTCTATCTACATGTTTTTATTTCTTTGGTTTCGTTTGTAAATCTGAGTTTCTCAGTGTTTTTTTTTTGGAATTTAAGGAGAGATATTTCATTTTAATTTCTGAAATCATCAATTACATTGTCGAACATGCGTTTTTTTTCTGTTTGATTTCTAGAAATTATCTATTGCATTAATTTCTTGTATTATCTGTTTTTTGCCAGATTTGTTTTAATTGCATATGCTGGATTGACGGCGCGAATGAAGAGAACAATTTCAGTTCAGTTTTATACAGTGAGAGACTGAGAGATTCGAGTCGTTTTCAACCCTTGTTTTGGAGTGGAAATTGTGGTTTGTGAGGGTAAAAAGAAGGAATGATGGGCCGGTCTTCGGGTTGGGCACCAAGGAATGCTGGTGGTTTTAGGGCGGATAATTTAGGCCAAGATGCACTGTCTATGATAAGGAACCTCGGTTTTGCGGTATTTGTGATCGGGGTGCTGATTTTTACTATAATTGCGGCGACCTATCAACCTGAAGACCCACTGTTTCATCCATCTGCTAAGATGACAAATTTTCTGACTTCAAGGTCCAATGCCACATTCAAAGCCGATGACACTGTGGTGAGGACCGGGGAAGACTTCATTGCTTCAAACCAGATCGCATTTTCCAGCTTTATTAACCTTACAGATGTTGAAATTGCAGTTCCTATTCTTGAAACTGGCAATGATCTTGAGTGCCAAGGGAAAACCGATGATCCCATCGACTGTAGGGACCCGGACGTGTTCCATTTGTTGATGAAAGCTACTATTGAGAAATTTCCAGATGCACACTTTTACAAGTTTGGGAAACCCGTCCTCGGCTCGAATGAAAGCACCTGTCACATGGCGTGGCGGTTCAGGCCCAAGGAAGGAAAGACTGCTGCCTTTTATAAAGATTACAGAAGTTTTGTCATCTCTAGGTCAGAGAATTGCACACTCAGTGTGGTTGGGATTGGGGAGTATCATTCTGGAGGGAATGCCAGGAAGAGGAAGAGAAACCACAAGGTAGGACCAGATAAAACAGGAAAGTCTGACGAAGGGTTTGAGAAGGTGCCGAGTGAGACAGTGGCGAGCCAGGGGAGCATTGCCCTGCCCGTGGTCGGGGAAGCCGTGAACGACTCCCTTCCCATTGTGGAATCAGAATCTTCGTTTCGGCGGGGAAAGTATCTGTTTTATTCCGGCGGGGGCGATAGGTGCAAGAGCATGAACCATTACTTGTGGAGCTTCATGTGTGCGTTGGGAGAAGCCCAGTATTTGAACCGGACCTTGGTGATGGATCTAAGTATATGTCTCAACAAGATGTACACCTCGTCCGGCCAAGATGAGGAAGGGAAGGATTTCAGGTTTTATTTCGATTTCGAGCACTTGAAGGATTCGGCGTCTGTACTTGACCAGACTCAGTTCTGGGAGGACTGGAACAAGTGGCACCAGAAAGATGGGTTGACCCTCCATCTCGTGGAGGACTTCAAGGTTACTCCGATGAAGTTAGCCGGTCTGAGGGATGCTTTGATAGTTCGCAAGTTCGGGAGCGTGGAACCGGACAACTACTGGTACAGGGTGTGCGAGGGTGAGACCGAGTCGGTCGTTCAACGGCCGTGGCACCTGGTGTGGAAATCAAGGAGGTTGATGGACATAGTTTCCGCAATCGCGTCTAGATTGAATTGGGATTACGACTCCGTCCATATCGTGAGAGGCGAGAAGGCGAGAAACGAGAAAATGTGGCCGAACCTCCGGCGGGACACCTCGCCGGAGGCCGTCCTCTCGTCATTGAAGGATAAGATCGAAGAGGGGAGGAACTTGTACGTGGCGACCGACGAGGGCGACGTGTCGTTCTTCGACCCGCTCAAGGACAAGTACTCGACGCATTTTCTCGACGAGTACCGGGACCTTTGGGACGAGAAGAGCGAGTGGTGGTCGGAGACGGCGGCAAAGCTCAACCGCGGGAACCCCGTGGAGTTCGACGGGTACATGAGGGCATCCGTCGATACGGAGGTTTTCTTGAGGGGCAAGAAACAGGTTGAGACGTTCAACGACCTCACCACGGACTGCAAGGACGGGGTTAACACGTGTTGAGACCCCCGTCGCCCCCCGCCTCCCGAAAGTTTGTACTCTTCTGGTGCCCTCTCTCCGTGTTGTGTTGGTCCAAAATCTCAGTAACTCTGCAGGGAAAGTTTTTACTATCTGTTTGGCCACTTTGGCATGGCAGTTCATAGAGCATCTGAAGCTTCTCCCCTTTCCAAACAGGATATAAGCTTCAGTGTTTCACTTACATCTGCATTTGTAGCCTCTGTTAATCTTATTTTATTTTTGCATATTTCCTTATTTGCTCTTGAACTATCTTTCATGTGAGAAAATGGAGTAGAAATTACTACTTGCTAAAATAAGTTGAGGGTAATGTTAGAAACTGTACATGAAAGCACACTGTCAAGCCAAGTGTGAGAGACAGTATTATCCATTTGGGTTTGTACTTAGGTAAGTGTTGCTAATGATATTCAATTTTCCATTCATTCATCACTTATAACACTTTTTTTTGGGGTTATTTGAAATTAAACTTCTTCCTTTGTTTTTTAATAATGTAAAGAACACAGTATTTTGTTCACAATTCTTTTCTTCTAAACAAATATTACTCTCTAAAATCTTGTGTAATATTTCCCCAGGTTCGATTCCCAGTGGAGGTGTTCGGACAACACTATATTGCACTTAAGTGAATAGCACTAAAAAATTGGATGGAGTATTTACTTTTGAACATTTTTATTAAATTCTATCAAGTGTCATCTCTGGTGTCAATGTAGCTGGATTCTTAATCCATATCCTGGGCATGGGTATATTGCAATTTTCTTTTAGTATGTTTTAAGTAGACCTACAAAGTGTTATGATTTCATTCTTTGTTTTGAATAATGCGTTTATCACTTGATCTCTAAATAATAAAAATTTTAATTTTTAAATATGCTTTTAATCCGTCGGATGAACCCAAACCCGATAACTCTGAATTATGAACAAGCACTCTTAAACCTGAACCTGAACCCGATAATACCGAAACTGAACCTGACCAACCATTTTGCCAGGTCTACTGTTGTAGATGTAGCTGGATTCTTAATACAACCAATGAGGTTGGATTGGTGTGAACTTTGATGTTTTCTTTGTAAAATAAAACATGTGACTTTGCAATTGCCCACTGGTGTTCATCAAACTACTTTTTTGTTCTCAAGTATCTATGTGTTGAAGTAGGATTTGTATGATGTTTGCTTATGTTTTTGCTAAGAAGTTTATGAGTTTGCTTCCCTAATGGATTATGTACCACACAAATGTGACCAAATATAGCATGAGACAAATATTGTGGAACAAACCAAAATGGAAACACAGGACACAAACATATTAACAAGCTAGAGTGAGCATATGTTTCGATGACCCATCGCTTTGAAAGGACGCAAACATTCACCACAGGTGATGTTATAGCGGTCAACCGCACCTATACTCGTTTCGTAGCAAAAACCATCCTCCTGCACATTTCACGAACAGATGTCATATGTGATTCCACTTTGATCTGAAATCAAATGGCGTCACATATGACATCATTTACATGTGCGGGAGGAGGTTCTTTTTATGAAAAAAGATGTCATTCACTGATACGCTCTTGCCTCTACACCACTACTACCTAGAGCAAGCACATGTACATGAGAACCTCTCTAAAGAGCTCCAATAAAGCTTGGGGTACATGTCTACTCATTTGTAGAGCAAGTGTATCACATAAACATAGACAAAACAACATGGACAGAGAGTTGATGTCTGTGTGTGTCTGTGATACACTTGGTGTACAAATAGAGTACACATCTTGGTGTACCCCTAGCACAGCCCAAGGCGGTCACATCGGACAAGTCATCACATTTTCTTTATCGTCTTGTTGGTGTAGCGTCATGACTGAATTCCTGCAGAGCGGGCATGTGACCCCCCAAGACTTGACCCATTTCTCAAGACACAACAAGTGGAAGACGTGTCCGCACGATAACAGGTTTATCTCTGCATCTGGTTTGAACTCTGCCAAGCACACACAACAATAACAGCAACAACAACACTCTTTTTCTTCCTTTTCTCCTCCTCTTCTCGAGGTGCAAACCGAGTCGTATCGGAGTGTCGGAGTCTGGCTCCGAAACTCCTCCATGTACGACTCGGAGGGAGATGCACGACATTCTTCGGTTGCATCTCCCGCGGGGTGCTCTTCCCATGGGGAAGCAATGGGAATGCCGATGACACTAAGGATTGACCTGACCATCTCCTTGATCACGGAAATGGACATGGCGGTGTTGAAGAGGATCACACATAGAACACCGCCGTCCGCCGGGGATGAATAAGGCGAGAGACCCATACTTTGATGAAATTGCAACCTAATAAACCACACATCCAACCCTATGTTAACAAAAGACAGACAAAGATAAAACTGAATTCCTAAAGCATAAAACATTTTCACTTGTACTTGAGTTGGTTCTTGGCATAAACCAACAAAAATTAAGCTCTTTTTTCTGTGTGTGGGTTAACAGAAAGTGAAAAAGAATCTTGAAAATATAGTTCCCTAAATAAGATAATAAAAGAAGAAAAAAAAAGTCAATCATTCAAATCTGGGTGTGGCTGCTGAAGAGTGAAGACCCTAATTTTGGGCATTAAACGGAGTGGATAAATAAATAAAATACTTGTAATAAATAAATAAATAAATAGATCACCTGAAATCAAAGATTGCAGATTGCCCGGAGCAGAGAGAGATATTAATTATAGGAAACAAAAGAACTTGAAGAAAGCAGATCTGGAAAGTAAAGAGCAAATTATATTAAGCAGAATCAATGAAAGCTTACCAATCTATGCTGGCAAAAAAAAAACCCCAATTCAAGAATTACTGCTAAAAACTTCCATATCTAACCAGACCCAGAAATACCAAGCATTTATTTTTCCTTAATTTTACTAAGAATCCATAATCCTGATTTAAAGACAACCCTAATCATAGATACAGCAAGAAATAGAAGAAAGAAAGTTGGCATCTTTGGGAGCAACAAAGAATGGCAAAAACAAAACCTTTTTTTCTTCTTCAAGAATTTTGAAAGGGTAAGACTCTTCTCTACTTCTCTCTCTCTCTATCTTACAACGTGAAATGAAAATATGAATGTAAACCGAGAAGGAAGAAGAGTGGATAAAGCTCTCACCAATTATAATAATTGTCCGTAGTAAAATGCAGCAGAAGTGACTGAAAATTGGGATCTCTTGAAGGAAAAAGGAAACAAAAAAAGGAAGACCCTTCACCCAATCTATCTGAACGGCTGATTTGATTGAAATAAGTTTTCTTCCAAAATTCGAACTAATTTAAATGTAGGTTATACTCCGTCTTTAAATTTGTTTCTAACATGATCGAGCCTGATCTAATCTCATTCTAATAAAAAATATATGAGTAACTGCTAAGAATAAGTTTGAGAGAACGTGCTCTAAGGGCCTATTCTCTTTAACTTGTTCTTATTACTTACTTCGTATTATTTATTCTTATTCGATTCAAATCTGCTAAAAAACAACTAGAAATATAACTACATTCAGATCAAAACATATCCCAGTCAAATCAAAATCATGAGAAGAAGCCCTAAGTCTCAGATTTGATCCATGGCTGAGAGGCATATAATATCAGTTGGCTCATCTTTTTTTTAGTAAAGAAAAGGAAAGAAAATGAGGGTGACAATAGTCAATTAAATTCCCATGTGAAACCCAGAGACAAAGCAGGCCAACAACTCAATCAAAAAGCAAAGAAAGCACATGAGGAAGCATTAAATAAATCAAGGGATGTGACTGTTTGGCTTAAAAAGGAGATACCGAGCAAACGGTCCTCCTTTCCCCCTTTCCGCTAATTTTGATTTTTTTGGGCATTTAATCATAATCAAATTTTTTATCAAAAAAATCATTATCAAAATTTAATCTATAATTAAATAAAAACGGTACTATGTACTCCAATCATCCAAAAATGGATGTCACCGTCACTATTATAGTTTTCCAATATTTTTTGTTTATTTATTCGTTTTCAATTATCATTTGATAAAATAAAATATTTTTATCGTATCTTGTTTTGTAGATCTTTTAATGTATTCTTAATTGATATAATTTGTACGATTTATTTATTTAACCAATTTAAAAATGATGTGATTTTTAAAAGAGATAAAATTTTGTACATTGTTTGAAGTGTAATAAACATTTTGGAATTGAGGGAGTATATCATATTCTTTTTGTTTCATTTTAAGTTACTCGTATATGTCAATGTTTACAATATTTGATTAAAGTTATTTTTAAACTAATTATATAAAAATTCGGTGAGATTTAGTAAATAAATTTTGTACATTTAAAATCTATATTAAAAATTCTACAAAAAAGAGGTGACATAATTATATTATTTAATCAAATAAGTAAAAAAAGGAATTAAATTTTGATCGCATGAATAGGTAACAAATACAGAGTAACTTAGATTCAGCTAGAGGGAGTATTAACTAAATCAAACAATATTTTGATATTATTATATTAGAAAAATCTAACAAAATCATTTTTGTATCAATATCTAATACGTAGTATCGATTAACATTTTTGTATCAATATCTAATACGTAGTATCAATTTTATTACCCAGTATATTATTGCTCAAAGTTTTTCTTAAATTTAACTATAAAAAAACAAAACTAGACAAATAATTCGAGATGGAGATAAAATGTATTTTAATTATTCCACTTCATCATAAAATAATCTTCCTACTTTCTATTTTCATTAGTCTAAAATAATTTTTACTTTTCTTTTAAGGAAAAAATTCATGACTAAAGAAATTCCATGTTTCTCATCAATTTATAACCAAATCTCCAAAAATAACATGGAATTTTTTTTCCAGACAAAAGAGGACCCTAGGATGCGTGATTCATAGTTAAATTCAAAAAAAACTTTTGAATTTTTTTGAAGAGTTTTTTTGCTCAAAGTTTTTTTTTGAATTTAACAATAGAAGAGTTTGTCAACTTCTACTTCTGTCACTGTAAAAAGTTGATAAATACACTCAAAACATTCAAAATGTTTATTCAAAACAAAATTGAAAATCATTTTTGAAGTAAGTCTTAAACACCCCATAATTGACATGACTTTGACCTCAATCTTTGCACAGACACGCAAAAACAATAACTCTTAGTGCGGTGCGCGCAACTCAACGCAATTGGAGGATGATGTCGTCAATCGTTAAGTTAAGAAGACCCTCTATGAAATAATAATACTACCTCCGTCCCACAAAAAAGTTTCCATTTTGACCATAAATTGGTTAAATTGTTGCACACTTTGACCATAAATTAAATATAATCTAAATAAAGAAATGCTAAAAAAATTTGAGATATCAAAACTAGGTCCTAAGATGATTCCAATTATATAAATTTTATTTCATAATTCAATATATTTTTCTGTTAAAGCGTGTAAATATTTGACTATATACTATTCAAAATGAGAACTTTTTTGTGGGACGGAGGGAGTAATAAATAAATAAATAAATAAATAAATAAATAAATAATGACCTGCTCGCATATGATCATTCACAAAATTTTCAAAACAAGCATTTAGAGAGAGCAGCAAAGGAAATAAAAAAAACTTTACACAGTGCAATAATCTTGCAAAAGCTGCCTAGCAAGGTCAAATGCTCCACTTGCCTTGTAAATCAGGTGAAGATTGTAAGCTGCTTCCCTGCGAAGGTTGCAATAACCAGCCGGCTTTTGGGTTGTGTGGGCCCCCTGAATCTCATCATACGGGAAGCTTGGAATCGGGCAGTCCTTCTCGGGAGTCGCTAGCACCTTTTCGTAATACGAAGCTGCAAGAGAGACGAGTCCCACTTGTTGGTATGCCCGCGCTACGTTGTACAGTGCTTCTTGGCAGCTTTCGTTCTTCCCCGAGAGCCTCAAATTGTTGTGCAAAAAGGCCAACCCTTGCAGGATGCATTTATGCTTACTCTTCAGCCTGATGTCAAATGCCAAGTTTATCAGTGCTGTCCCTATGCAAAGATTGATCAGTGGGCAATTGGGCTGAACTTTGTAAGCCTCCAGATACTCTCTGGCTGCCACTTGGTACTGACAGATCTCGCCGAACTGGTGCCCTGCAATGATGATGGGTGGGACACAATCTTTCTGTTCTTCGCGAGTGTTTTGTAGAAATCTGTTGTTTGTGGACATTGTGGTGTCTACTTTTAATAGTGCTTTATAGTAGTAACTCCAAGCTGCCATTTTAGAAGGGTGAAGACGAAGGAAAGGCCTCAGAAACCTACAACCGCGCTTCGGGTCTTCGATTTTGCAAGCCAATTGTGCACCTATGATTGTTAGGCTATCCCTCCTTTCTTCAGATAATATGTCGGAAGCAAACGCGAGTGTCAATTTGCAAACATCAAATGCCTCTTCGTATCTTCCTAGGGATGCCAGACCTTTGGACAAGTCCACGAAGAGCTGATGATTCTCCACATCTTTTAGGAGTTCGGGCGTACGGGGTTTCTTCTTGTGCAGTGACACCCGAAATTCATTGTCTGAATCTGAATCTTCACTCTTCCAATCCATACCAGCGGCTAGGGATTTTGTTTTCATCTCTTCTTTTAATAGAGATCTCTTCTGAAGGACCTTCTTTGCTCGGGAAGCCTTTCTTCTATCTTCTACATTAGCCACGGGTTTAAATCCTTGGATTAGATTGTCGGGTTGGTCATTATCTAAGACTTTGACTCTTTCTAGAAGCACTCTCTTCGGGAGCTTTTTATTCTTAGATCCCGTTTTTGGAGCTTCACAGGTTAGAGATCTGTAAGCTAAGGGATAGAACACATCAACGAATTCTCGAATGACATCTTTAGCGTGATAGATGTTGGCAAGCTTGAGTTGCACTTTCACATCATTCCACCATTCTTCACCTGAGGTTTTCAATGCAAACTCTGGGTTCGGAGGGGAAAGAAGGGGTATCACTTCGTCATCTCTCCCTCTGTCAAGAAGCATGGAAGCTAAGGTCAGCCGAGTCTCAACACTGTGTTCCAGCAACGATAGAGCTTTGTAGAAAAACGAAATAGCCTCATCCCAATTTCCCAAAGATAAGTAACATCCAGCTATTTTCAAATTTAGATCCCCACTGGTTGATCCCAAATCCCTTTCCAACATCAAGTAGTAATGCAAAGCTGATTGATGATGCTCAAGCTTCTTAAACGTGTCTGCAATTTCAATAATTGACTCAGCGAAGTCATTCGCTTTCTCAATGCAGAGTGTCCCAAAAATAACATTTGCATTACCCAAATCTCCAAGATAAAGGTAGCAAATTCCCGCCTTAGCTGTTATCAGATCAAACAAAGATTCTCTTCCCGAAAAATACCTTTTTATATGTTGAAGAGCTCGAGAATACTCACCATTCTCAATGCATATGCTAGCTAGCATCAAAATGATTCTTGGATCGCCGCCAGTCGGGTAGTGGCTGAGATAACTCTCCAGAGCAACCAGAGAACATTCAACCTTACCACACTGCTTATACAACTCTGCTGCTGCAATGCAGACCTCAGAATGGTCGGGACTAAGGTGATGTATTTGTTCATATAACTTGGCGGCTTTCTCATACTCTTTAAGTTCAGTATAATGTGATGCACCGAGGAATTTAAGCATGACATCATCGGGGTCAGCAGCTATGGCCTTGGGAAGGTAGTAATTGACAGCAGCAGTGTTCCCTTGATCTAAAAACCAAGAAAGAAGTGACTTCCAGAGAGATGTGTCTTTTGGCCTATTTACACTTTGTGTGGCAAGCATGTAACTACAAATAGCCCTTTTCTTATCACCCATTGCGTTGTAAACGAGGCCGAGCGTATGATAAGCATCATGTGTTGGGTTGCGCCTGATACACTCAATCAGCAATTTTAAAGCCCTTTCGTAATCCCCTGTTGCATAGCTCAGTGTACCCTCGCCTAACAACTTCTTGGTCTCGGGGTCCACGTTGCATCTAGAACCTTTACGCTTTCCTCTCCTCTTCTTCCTCCTCGATTTCCTCCTACTCCCATAATTCATAGCTTCCATGATTTCCTCGAAGCTAGCACCTAAAAACTCTGCCTCCTTCCATTGTTTCTTCACAGACCCATTGTCTTGGTGACACACATCAGCTTTTCTCTTTTTCTCGGCAAGTGATTCATAGTCAGCATCATCCACTAGGAAGCTAAAAGGTGTAACGTCCTCTTCTGATAAATCCTCTCCACTTTTACCGCTAGACCCGTCATCACATTCATCACCTGATTCCGTTGCCCCGTCACGAGCATCTAAGTCCGCACCATTTGCAGAACCTGCATTCAACACAAGCTTCCCTTTTTCATGTGAGAAACCAGCTTGTTTTGTTTCTTCTCCCATCGAATGCATTTTATCGACAATGTGGATATAGAGGAACTTCAACCTGCACTCTCTAAATCAAATTCCACCTGCAAATTTGTAGCATTTTATTGTCAAGAAAAAATAGAATCATAATCAGTCCTCAACCGTGTTCATCAGTCCTCAATCATACAATCACGTTCATCTAGTTTACATATCTTGATAGTAATTGATGAAAATCGAAAACTTTCTTCCTCAACCTAGGGGCTAGGGTCAGCTTCCAAAGATTCAAAACCAGCCTTTTCTTTCTCGCTCAAAAAAGGTTGAGAATGAACAACTACTTCTTCTCATGGTTGGTTTAAAACCGAGGTTCATTTGTGTTCATTTGGAACAACTCCCACTTGAATCAAGTTCCTTAAATTTTGGTTGTTTCTTGAAAAATCTTTGCATCATAGATCACAAGGAATTTACAAGTCAATTATACTTCCTCTATTCGGATTTAGTTTTCCAATTTCTGAAAATTTTTATTTTTAAGAAATGAGTTTAAAATGCTAAACGTGACCTTCAAATGAGTGTCACTCATTAATGTCAATAATGCTCATGCCATATCTCAAGTACTCAATATTTTAGACAATTCATCATAATTTCTTTATTGAATAAGAAAAGTGGACATCTAATTTTGGGAAAAAGAAAACAAGCAAGAAAAAGATGACAACTAAATCCGAGCGGATAGAATGAGGGAGCAGTGATGAAGAAATACTCAAAGAAAAAGAACAAATCACTTTATCAAAATAACCAAATCACAACTGGACACTCAACAAAGAGAATGCCGGGTTCGTGAAGGAGCAAAATTTTATGCTAAAAATTGGAAAGAGCAGAATTATATGCTAAAAAACACAGACTGAGATTCAACAAATCACGATTTGAACAGTCAAGAAAACACAATAGAAGCTTCATCAAATCAAAATTTAAATGGTAAATGCTTCGTAATAAACTTTCCAGAATCAACAACTCATATCCATTACAAAATTTTATTAAAGACTAAATAATTACAAACCTTTTTTTTAGCCAAAGATCTTGTGGTTCAATGGCATCAAGGTGATTCTTCAAGTGGGAGGCCAAGGATTCAATCCCCAGTGTTCGGGATAACTCTGGGTGCTTAAAATAGTTTGAAAAAATATGTATGAACATAAATTACAATTGTAATAGAGATTTTTTAAGGAAGAAATCGGAACCCAAGAGCACCTTCGCCGTCGGGGGTTGCCTTTTCGTCTGTTGCCGTGAGTCTGAGAGAGAGAGGATACGGTGAGGGAGAGTCGACGACGGAAACTGGATGGGGGGTGAGGGACTTTCTGCGGGCAAAGATAGCGTATTTTTACATAGGGGCGGTTGTCACATTGTAGGGGTGGGGGTGTGTTCAGGTGTGAGTGGAGTGGGGTGGAGGGGTCTACGTGGGTTTATTTTATGATCGGAGCACCTAGTCATCACATGACATGAGATTTCAATATCATGGGACCCAAGAGCACCCATCGTATCTTCTCATTATTTTTTTTAATTTTAAAATATCACAACTACGTTCACTTATTTTATTTATTATGTCTTATCCACCTCATTTAAGAGAATATCTATATCATACATCCGGATGTACGGAATACTACTTCCAGTACGTTTAGTAACAGAATACTTAATTTCGAGTAACATAACACTCATTTTCAAATAACCAAATACTCATTTTTTAGTATAACTAAATTTTAGAAAAATGAGTTTCAATCACCCGAATATGAATATTTTGTTGTTCGAAAATGAGTATTCATTTACACGTGAATGGGTACTCACCGCGGATGTACTGGAAACACCGTACAACCGGTTGTATGGTATTTATTGTGCATTTAACATATACTCCATCCAATTTAATTAAGGGTATTTTAGTAAATTTCACATTTGTCAACTCTTCTTAAAATCTACAAAAAGTCAACTTGATCAAATCAAATAAGATCCATCATATTCAACAAAGAGAACAATGTCTTAGAGTTTATTCTCTTCAATTTAATCTTATTTCGAAGTACGTAGTGGTCTGTATTTATTATTAATTCCTATTGAAAACAGATGAAACAAGATGGTATTTAATCAAATCAAATCAGAAACAACATTAAATATACTTAGAGTCAAATCACATTAGATCACACCTTAATAAATCAGATCATATTCAATCAAAACATAGAAATAGAACATGATCTTAAAACGGCCTATTTGTTGACTTGGAAAGTCTTGAGTTCAAATCATTAGGGGTGAGCATGGTACAATAAAAGACTGAATTTAACTCGTACTCATACTGTATCGAATATTTTGATTTGATGTGAGATATTATATCGTATCGATCCCGATTCAGAAATATCTGTTAAGGACTATTCAATTTCAGTACAAATCAAGATAAATTTGTATGTATCTACTTTACTTTAAAAAATGTACCTTAACCTTGGTTTTTCAAAAATTAAAAGTATATTAAAATAAAAAAACATAGAAAACTACAAAATAAATAATTTAAATGTAAGAAACATTTATGAAACTTAGTTTATACAGAATACTTCACATACAAAATATAATGAATGACAATAAAATACTATTTCAAATATTGTTTAAAATTTTCATATTTATCTAAAGAAAAGTACAACTCAAATAAATACAATCCACGCACACAAAAATTTTGAATCGAATTTTCAAAATGAACTTATTGCCTAAAAAAGAAATACAAAAATATTTATATATTTATAATATATTACTATGTAGTGTGAATGTCTGATTCAAGATTTTCGGTATGAAAAATCACTTCGTATTGCTCTCATATACCAAACTGATTGTTTAGAGCTCGATTAATTTTTTTTCAATATTTATCGATTCAGTTTTTATGGTTCTTTCAGGATCCGTTCAGTACTTGCCACCCATACGAGTCACTATGGAGCCGAGATAGAAGATATTTCTATCAATGAACCTCTAGTCCCCAAGATCCTCTTTGATCAATCAATTGCGGATGTGCCATTTCCATTAGTAGCGTGGAAGCTTCGATCTACTAGAAGGCGACTGAAACTTGATGCTTAGTGAGGGAGGAACAACCTAAATCAATCAGACGCTATGTGAAGCTGACCAATCAATATATGATGACTTTTTGTGCACAGACACAAGTTGGGAAACCTAATGTATACAAAGGTTTTTCTGTCACTAGTGACTAGACCATAAAACTTATCCGGCCTACAATTATGAGCTCGAGTTTTTAGTTGAGCTGATTTTTGACAACTTTCATTCATCTCATAACTAACCAGACCTTTGTTACGGAGCATTACTAGACTAAAATAACAACGTTTTACGTAAATAAGACTTAATTTCATGTGTGGGACTAAAAGATTACTAAAAACAATATACTGCACATACTAAAACTAGCATTACTGCACAATCACAAAAATAATATGCACTGAATAGTAGCATTAATGCACGGTCGTGAAAGCAGTATGCATCGAATAACAACGTCACTGTATTGTTAGAGATACTAAGAACTAGCATTCCTGACATATCGTGAATGTAGTGCCTTAGCGATTATCAAGGCATAGATTACAAACTTAAAAAAAGGAGATAAAAATAGAAATGAAATTAATAAGACTAAATTTAAGTCCTTTTTGTGTTACAATTAAAAAGGTTATATTTGTGTAAATGTTCCATGCTTTAGTTCCATTTCAAATAATTTTCTCAATTGCTTATCAAAAGCAAAAAACCACCAACACGACCTGGGAATAGCCAAGGAGTAATAGCCAATTTGACTTCGCTTGAGAACAACGTTTATGATTAACTTTAACATTTTGAATACTTTTTAAACAACGCAAATTAATGGATAAAATGCCAAAAACTATCATTGGATAAGAATTTTCAAAATGATAAAACTAAACTATGAAGCTAATGTCAATAGAAACAACATGGAACAAAATTTACTAGTGCACTGGGTAGCACTCTGGCCCAATTTATGTTTGCTGACTTTGACTTGATACATTGAAACTTATTCATATACTTAAGAGATAAACAATATGAGCTATAGTATGGTTTCTACAAATGAGAATAAACAAGATATATATATATATATATATATATATATATATATATATATATATATATATAAGAGGACAGACAAGATAAAGCATTAACCCTCTCCCTATTATGTAAGTGACTTATTGAGATGACTTAGAATTCACACAGTGATCTGGGAAAAAAATAGCAATTTTACATAAACACCTTCTCTTTGTCCCTCTCTGACACGTGTGTGGACTTCACTCTCGTGGGACTGATACACGTGTGAGAGAGGGCGCGAGAGAGAGTGTTCTAGAGGTGTGTATGTATCATTTTTTGAAAATAAAAGTACACGAAAAGAAAACAGTGAAGCAAAAGGCTCATTTGCTGCAGCTATGAATAGTAGGAACAATGTGCTATCCTCCGAACAACTCCTCCAGCACATTGCATGCATAGAGGTAAATAAGAAGAATATATACACATACTTGGAGCCGGAGGTTCTTCGATCGTCCCACCATAATGTGTGATCTTGATGATGAAATGCGATCTCGAGACAAGGAATTTTTGCATAGTGGCATCCAAACAATTGCAACATCCCACGGACGCGCAGTTATCCATTTCAATTCCTTGGCATTTTAACTTGGCTCACTTCGACTAGTAGCTCCTCGTTTGGCTTAGGGGGTCATAATCATATGCATCCCCGGGCTTGATGAACCGCCCCTTCACACGCTTCCTCACATCTGCTCTGGCCTTACGAGAAGCATACCTCACTTGCTTTTCAAACCTGTGTCATTTTTTTGTCGACAAACTTTTAGGTTATGTTAAAAACTTCAAAGTGGTCATTGTTTTCAGGTTTGTCATGAACTAATTGCTTGTTTCAACATGATATTCTGCTGTGATACTATGAGGGTGTTTGAGGTTGCGTTTAAAAACTGTTTATGAGCTTTTGCTTCATTAAAATATTGTTTGTCGTGTTTGTCAATCCACTTCTGCTTATAGATTATGACTTTTGCAGTCTAAAATGGGTTCCAGAAGTGCTTTTAAGAAAAGTTAGAAATATCTACTTTCCGCTTCTACTTAAAACTACTGCATTTTCAACAATTTTTACCACACTCCCAAACACCCTCTATATTAGCAAATGCAATAGACATTTAGGGCTCGTTTGGCTTCACTTTTCTTTTTGGTCGTTTCAGAATTAGTTGATTTTGGAGAATCAAGCAATTGATTACTTCTGAAAATCAGATTCTAGAATGTGCTGGGATGAGAATGTGCAGAATCAGCTTTTCTGAAAATCAAAGCCAAATGACGCCTTAGACACGAAACAACAAATGAAAGAAAAATGGTGATTCTTACTTGCGAGTTTTCTTCTTTTCTTTGTAGCGCAATACAGCAACGGTCCTACTACTAGTACTAGTTAAGGGCAGGTCTCCCAGTGAGGAAGTTCCACAGTCCTGGTGATCTCCGCCACCGCCGCCGCCACAACTATCTCTGGTGGCATTTGAGAATGACATCTTGTTGTTGGACTGTCCAAAGCACGCGTTGGGTGGTTCGGTCCAGCAGCAGCTCATGATAGAATCTCCAGATATCGCTTGAATTGGATTTACCTGTCTCCCCATTGATGACCCCTGCCATATATCAACCAGCTCAACATTGTCCATAAAACATAGCGAATAGATTTGAGACATTCTCGTGCGCTGTGGAAGAGAAAAAGGGTAAAATCCGCTTGCAAAGGAAGTGATTAATGTACTTTCTCTATACAGATTTAGTTGTCCACTTATCTCAATCCCTTAAATTTAATTGACAAAAAAAATTCTTGCAATTGGTTTGTCTTCCATTTTTGACAGCAAGCATGATATAATCTTCAAGGGTATTTTGGGTAATTCATCGTCATCTCTTAACCAAATAAAGTAAGTGGGCAGTCAATTCCTGGTATCCCAACAAAGGAAAAGTAGACAACTAAATTTGGATGGAGGAGTATATGAGAAGATGAGTATATGGATAGTGAGATCTTAGAGCAACCTCAACAGCACTCACACCCTTACAACTGGAATGAGCAAAGTCATCAGTCTCAAAGAGGTCATCGATCCCTTGATTCTCCGGATCATTAAATGACATGCCAAACAATTCTTCATAATTTTCATCCACATTGAAATCCCCACAGAAGTCATCATCCTCGAACACGCTTCTTGGTTCTTTGGTTCCGGGATAGCAGACCTGATATATATTGTGCAACTATGTAAATAAGGAGCTAAAGTGAGTCTCAACAAGTAAAGAAATAGAGTAGCACGAGATTTTCGCGTTCCCTATTCTTTCAATGACATCACAACACACCTATTCTGTTAATAAGTCACCTCACGCCAGATAAATATATATTAACAAAAATAATACATCTCTTAGCTGACTTTTAGTGAGGAATCCCGAATATTAATGCCAAGTGCCAACAACAACAAATTAAGTAAAACCCCACAAAAGTAGGGCCTAGGGAGGGTGTGTGTCCGCCAACCTTACCCTATTATGAAGTAGAGAGGTTGTTTCTAAGAGAACCCAAGCCGATTGTTAAAGGCAACAAGAACAATAATAAATCCAGTAAAATCTCACAAAAAGTAGGGTCCGAAATGGGCGAGTCTACGCAGACCTTACCTCTACTGTGAGTAGAAAGGTTGTTTCCACGGGACCACAAGCCAAATACCAATGCCAAAATCATAAATTACCTTTGGAGAGGAGGGATATGTGGATCCAATTGGGAGTTCCATGGCGTGTAGCTTCTTGTCAATGGTTTCCATAGATGCCCCCACCCTATTGGGGAGCAAATTTACAGTTGGTTCGCTTCCTCCTCCGTCTGGAACTCGGGCAACGTGGTGACTATCGGTGATGCTCATCGAACCCATTCCCTGCTCACAAGTGGAATCCCCGACCGAAGGGAAATCCAAAAGGAATGACCATATGGTGGAGAGTTGGGCAGCTGAAGGGCAGCCCGAATAGCAGCTGACCGCTTGCCTCTTGTGAGAGGAATTAGGATGGCCTGCCCAGTCACAGTTCTGGCAAAGAGATATCCTCTCCTCTGCGCACCTAACGACAGAGGGTTGTGATGTGCATCTCTCACATAAAAGTGTCCTCGAATGGCGCTGCGACAGCGCATTTGCAGAGTGTACATTTCGGTCACACGATAAGCACAAACTTGCTGCATCGGACCGACAGTATACCACCGATCTCTGCTCCCCACAGAACTCACACATGTATCCCATTCTCTCCCTCAACAAACCATCTTTCACATTTCTTCACCTAAAACACATTTTCCCTTTATAATTGGGCATTTTAATCACAAACAAAGCCCTATTATTGTTCCAAGTCATCATAATCTGCAGCAAAACCACAATTTGTTCTTTCCTAACAAAAAAACATAAGTAAACCTCATTTCGCCGGGCCAATTTAACAACAAACCCAGTAAAATCCCACAAAAACCGGGGTCTAGGGAGGGTGCGGACATGCAGACCTTACCCCAGTCGGAAGTAGAACTGTTTCAAAGAGACCCCACAAATATAATACAGAAAAAAATGCCGTAAATAAACAAAAGCTAAAGTAAATTATCTAACAATATAAGATGATGAAAGAAGACACGGAGTGTAATAATTATAATAAAAAGATCACTCATTTGTGATTTGAAGAAGAAACAAGGAATAAAGCTCTTCCTCAAAACCAAAAATACCACAAAATCTAGAATTAAAAAAAAAACCTCTGAGAAAATCCCACAAAAAATTGCTTTATGATTTTGCATGAGCTCTGAAATTCTTCAAGAAATGTACTTTTTCATCTATCAGCCAAACAGATCAATCAATGATCACAAACAACCTGGAGCACAGAAAAGATGAGAAAAAGGTCAAAATATAACTGTCTTACCTACTTTAACTGTGGAACTGGGCAGTGAAAAGGTACAGTAAAACAGAGGGTATTCTGGGTAAAACCTCCCTCCTCCTCTTGGCAACAAACTCTCAGGGCAGAAAGACTCGCAATAAAATAAAAACCCTAAGAACAGAACAGAGAGATCAAAAAAGGCCTTTCCAAAATCTCTCAGCTCTGCACTTTTGTCTGGGAGTTGTTGAAATGTGAGCGTTGGATAATTATTACAGAATTAAATTATAATATTAAATACCACAAGCTGATTAAATATTGAAAAAAAAAGAAAATAGAAAAAAAAACCTAAAAACAGAGAAGATTAAGGTGTAAGAGTGGGTCTCTGTCAATTTCAAATTTCACCAAGAAATGGCAAAGTTAGGCCCCACTTTTTTGTTCTTGCACTTTTTTAGTCTGAAAATGGACAAATCTAATGGCGGATTAGAGTTAGATTAGCGCATTAATTGCGTCTGTTCTGTACTATCTTAAGATATTTTTGCCAGAATTCTTAAAATTAATAAAAATAATAATAATTATAATCTCACTGCACAAAATCTATATATACTGCCGCATTTCATTTATGGAAAAGATACCCATATGGTTGATCAAATTGATGAAATCATAACTAAATTGAATTAGTAATTTTAGAGGAATGATTTTGGCTTGGCTTGGCTTAGCTATCAGCAGCCCCTATTCTCACGAGCCCAAACCTTTGATCCAACAGTTGAGAGGTCGGTGGATTAAGGTTTGACTGAATCCAACGAGCTTGATTGAATTCTTCCCCGAGTCCTAGGAAAAGTAAAAGTATAATAGAAAGAATTTTCCTAAATTAATTTCAATAGTTATTACTAATACTTCCTCCGTCCCTAAATATTTGTCACATTTATATTCCCGAGATAAAATATTAAGTTTTTTCAATTCATTTTATTTACATATTAGTATGAAAATAAAAAATAAAATTTACATATCAAAAAACTACATGAAAAGTTCTTCGAAATAAGAGGTGTCAAAAATATTTTATTTTATCAAATAACCAATGAAAACGTAGAAATAAACAAAAGTTCTCGCGACTGCTGAAAAAGCAAATGTTGTGAATACTTTGGGACGGATGGAGTATGATTTTTTGTAATTGGGATATATTCACTAAACAATCATCAGTCAGAAATGCATACTAAATGACAGTTAAATGGTGGGTATTTTTGTATTTTCCATTATCTACACAATGAATAAGTCTTCAAAATGATTCTTTCAAATTAAGAGGGCGGCTGGTAAAGGAACGGACCCACACCGAATAGACTCATTGACTCTATTTCAGGAAAATATTTTCTTAGAAATTATCACTTTGGAAAAAATACTTAGTTATAAAGAACATTTCGAGAACATATCTTAAGTTTAAATGATAGAAAATGTCAAAATATCTTCTATTTGACTAACATTTTCGAAAGATGACCATTTAAAGAATAAATCTAAATTATAAAGGTTTACGCGGGTGATTATTACTTATTGAAGACTAATTTAGAAAAATATCCTATTTGAAAGAACCATCTTGGGAATTCACTCTTTCTTTAAAAGGATTAATAACATTGCTATTACTTGTTTTTGTTAACGTATATTTTTGTTAATTGTTTATTTTTTGGTTATTGGGCATGATCCATTGTAATGGGTTTTAGGGGTGAGCGTGAAATCTGTTCCCGTTAGACCGTTCCGAAAAATCTCGGATCTGTTTTGTAATTGTACCGATATATTGAGAGACATTTTTTTTATCCTGAACCCGTTCCGTTCCAATATCAAATGGGACATGAGCGGGACAACTTAAATTTATACCGATCCGTCCCGTTTCATCTACTCTACTAATATATAATACTAATTCTAGTCCAAAATCCAAATACACTCATTTTTTAATTAATTAGTTATTTAATTAAGTTAACTTCATAGGCTTGAAATTTATTTGGACTCGTTCCACTCTTTGATTTTTGTTAGATGGCTAGATGTTTCTTTTTTTTAATGAAATGTCACCCTCTCCTCCTTATATTTGCTATTTCTTGAAAGATTAGTCAATGCCGAGTGATTATACGTCGATGATTCTCTCCGAGATCTTGTACTAGAGCGTAATCGTTGAAGTGGGCTGGGCTATCATTCTCTGCCATGATTATTTCTCTGCCTCAATTTCGTATAGATCGGTTTTGTTGGAGAAAATCAATTTCTAAAATAATCATGCACTGGTTCATTAATCTTTTGAAAATTCGAGGTGATTGTGGCTCATCGATGATGGATGATGTTTTAACAGGATCTAAATGCATAACACATCATGATCTCAAGTCTTCAAACTTTTTAGATTCTTAGATCTAGAATAGACCTGGCAAAAAATGACCCGACCTGTTTTTGACCTGAAACCCGACCTGAAAACACTGGGTTTTGAACAATGGTTTTGATGACCGAACCCGAAGTTGACCGAACCCGAAATGACCCGCTAAAAATGGGTCAAACCCGACCGAACCCGAACCCGACCTGACCGACCCGCTAAAGTAAGAATTTTTCAAAATCATACACTTTACTACTCGTTTTTAGTGTACAAATTTATATTTACAGAGAAAATTTTAATGATATTGCATAATTATCTTACTTTTTTCCAAAACTTAAGCATTTTTAAATTCCTTATATTGATTTATATATCTAAAAAAGTACTTCAGAGTTTAAAATAAATCAATTTTATAGATTTAATACATTTTTTTTTTGATATTTTAAATTTATTTAATAGAAAATGTAAGTGATAATGTGAATTTAAAAATTTTAAAAATCAAAGTTATAACCCGTTGGGTCGACCCGAACCCGACGATACTGGGTCATGAACATACAGTTCTCAACCCGAACCCGAATTGACCTGAACCCGAAATAACCCGAACTTGAAGTGACCGAACCCGAACCCGACCTGACCGACCGATTTGCCAGCTCTAATCTAGAACTCAGTTTTGTTGTGACAGGGAAAGTGTGGTGATGGCAGTTGCAGTGTGGCGGAGAAGGTGATAGTGTAGCAGTGGTTGTGGTGGTAGTGTGACAATAGAGTTAGCAGTGTGGAGGCAGAGTCGACAGTGTGATGGCGCAGGATGAAAGTGTGGCAACGCTCATGGTGGCAGTGTGGCGCCGGTGCCAGTGTTTTGGCGGAGGGTGGCAATGAAGTTGGCAATGTGACAGCGGAAGGTGGTAGTCTAGCGGTGGAGGATGACAGTGTAGCAACAGAGTTGACAATGTGTGAGCGATTCCTTGCCAACTATGTGCACTACTTTGTATCAAAAGGTAGAGATTGTTAATTTATTTGGTTTTGGCCTAAACATATAAATAGTGGTTTGACCCCCCAATCCAGCAACCCATTTATGTAGCACTTTATTTACTCCTTGACCTAATTAAATTTGCCTTTATTAGCCCTCTAGTGCTCCTATATATTGTGTTGGTGTGTGCCTTGTATTTGATTGTTCAAAATAGTGAGAGCCTTTTCCTTTGTGAGTTCCTCTTCTATGTGAGTTGTATTTCTCTGTATGTTCATCTCTGTTCTTCTTTGTACGGGGTGTGCTCCTTTTGGCGCTTTAGTAGTGCACAACTACAGATCGATTTTACGAGTGATCTGAGCTAAATCAAAATAAATAAATACATCTAACTTAAACTATATACGGAGTATATTTTATTTTAACATTTTCATTCTTTTATATTTGTAAGTTTATTATGCACATCTTTTAAACACGCCAAGGGGAGTATATTCAATTCAAATCTTAAAAGATTTTGAAAATTTATTTAGGACCCATGGATTACGTGAAAGCTGTAGATTATTTCAAGTTCTTGCAGAGTTAGATATGTTTTTATGTATTTTATTAGCATGATTTTATATGATTTTTTAACACTAGTAATTTTATTGCAATATAGTATTTATTCATACATTCTCAATCTATTAAAGCTCGTAGAGTCACGAGTCGCATTGGAGATCAAACACGTGACCTCTCATTTTAGAGACTTATAGCGATGCCATAAGACTACAAGGCCCTTGGCTTTTATATGATTCTATAAGATTGTTTATAATTAATGGATTCTTTATCCATAAATATGGGTTGTTTAAAAAATATTTATATTGTTCTAACATCAAAAATGGCTAATAAAATCGAATAAAAAATTAAAATAATATACTATAAGAAAATAATTATAATTTTTTAGATAATAATAATAATTATTTTCATTATTAATTTATTAGCAAAAAAGTAGTAGTACATTGCTCACTGTCATAAGCAATAAAATTGTTTTGCAAAAAAAAGCATTATTATCTTCAAACAATCTTTGATGTATGTCAAAATCCATCAATGAAATTCTAGAGACAACAAAAAGAACACATTATCCCAAATCCAAAGATAGTTTTAAAATAAAATTATTAAACATAGTCTTCCATTTTAACTTCATTATCATCAAAACCCTCGTGATTCTCCTCATTCATTTGATGCTCATTAGCATCATTTTATTGCCAATGAGCACACATAGCTTCAACAATGCTATGTCTCCAAGTGTTAACTTCTCTTCTTTGTGGTATTTGGGTTTGAGAAAGTATCTCAACCTATTTTTCCTCCATGTCTAGAGAACACCCTACAATGGCAAGAATTTAACTAGTAGGGATCAAATGTCAGCAAATAACCATCCAAGGAATATAAAATTAGTGATTTAGATCAGTTTTTTGTTTTCAAATTCAGCATTCTTCTATGGAGTAGCAGATGGAATGGAGAATAAATAGTTATATAGGGAATCTTTTTAAAACATTTAGATAAGTTTAAACAATTAAAAAATTAACAAATACAAGCAAAAAACAAATTACATTACAAACAGAAATAAACAAATTCAAGTACAAATTTATTATTAATACTCCGTATATAAACAAACTAACGAAGTTTATTATCTCATATGATGATGATAACAACAACAACAACAACAACAACAACAACAATAATAATAACCACAACAACAACAATAACAACTAAATCACTATTGGATGCGATTGGAAAAAAATGGAAGAACCTAAGAGTCGAAGATACTTGAGGAAGTTGGTAAAAATTGAAAGTATTTAAAAAAATCGAAAAAAGTTGGGAAAAAATCAAAAGAAGTTGGAAGAAACTGGAAAGTCCATGAATGTTTGTCAAAATTTAACTTTTTGTAGTCAAATTTGACAAACTTTGACCATTAATTAAATAAAATTGATGTTAAATATTGATATACAAATAAATTTAATAGATTTATGTTGTATAATACTTTCAAAATATTATTTTATTTAATAAATACAGAGTATACTATATAGTTTTAATTTTGTGATAAGTCAAAGGATAATCTTGTCAATTGCAAAAAATCAAAGCTGAACAAATACTCTGGTACGAAAAGAGTAAATAGTTATGATTTTTGAATGAGATAAAATTCTTAGGTATCCCAAACCAAAAAAAAGTTTGAAAAAAACATAGTACCAATTATATTTATTGAGAAACATTTATCATACATATGAATTATGTAACGATACAAGGTTAAACGACGGTTAGTACTGGATGAAGGTGGAAGGAACTCTTGAAGTGAAGGGTACTCCGACACCCACCCTCAAAGCAAGAGATGTACATACACGATGAGCAGGGTGAGGAATTTGGGGTTTTCTTTGGGGGAGGATCTAAGAATGGTTTTGGAATCAACGGTGGAGCTAAAAGCTTTCTTGGATCATATGGAGATGTGGAGACCCATTGGTCTCCCTTTGCTTTGAATGGCAAATCTTTGGTTGGGTAGTGGGTGGGTTCGAGAGGGCAAATGAGTCAATCTTACACGTTAGTTTACCATAAAATGGAAGTAGACAAAAAGTGAGACCGGTCAAAAAGGAAAAATGGATAAAAACACTTGTACGGAGAGAGAGTAAGATGTAACGATAGCCATGTAGGGAACTATGCAGTAATACAATAAAATTCCAATACATTTTTTTAAAGCACTAATGCAGATTTGTAAAAGAACAGACCTGCTTGCCATGTTCAAACAAAAGCAACACGTCTCCTAACCAGATAATTAAATAAACCTGCAAGGAAAATACGGGGAAGAGAAATGAATTGTGTTTGAAACGGGATAAGGGAAAATGTTAGAAAATCGAACTAAAGATGCAAAAGCACCATGTTCACATTTAGGCGCAGTTTGGTAAGACATACTGAGGCAAAAGGTAATCAAATTCACTGTGTAATGTTGATTTACATTAAAAAAATTGATTGATTGCAATATTGCCTTAACAAACTAGACTTTAGAGAGTCAGAGACTACCATTATGCTTCTACAAGGAAGATTTGGGGTTGGATTCCTGTTTTTGGCGTTCAGGAAGAGGGCCGTCCCTTTTTCTCACATATGCTTTGCTCCTTGATTTTGAGGGACCAGATTGCTTTGATTGATATGTAGGGTACTTGCAAGGGATTATCTCTCCATTGATGTACTTATCCCCTGATAGCAATAATGTGCAACAACTTAGTTCAGTGTGTGACCAAAACAGATGATTCTTGAATCCAAACAAGGGAATGAATATCAAATGCTTAAAAAAATGATCTTAAAAAAATGATGATTGAACCTCCATAGTCCTTGTTTTTGACATCAATGTAAGAATCAGGTAAAACCCACAACACTCCAGGTAATCCTGCAAGAGCAAGACAATAAGCCATGTGTTTGGACTATGGAAAATTAGGGGAAAGAAAATAGAGACTTCCATGGATGGACACTCAGATATTGAAATTTAAGGGATCTGTTTGGACTATGGAAAATTAGGGGAAAGAAAATAGATGTGAATTTTGCAAAAGAGTAAACTTTGAGAAATCTAAAAAATTGATCCAAACTCGAGAAGTAAATTTTAGATATTTGTTCAAACTCATTTTATTTATGCATTTCTATCACATAAAGACTAACAATGACATTGTCAAGAGATATATCAAACTTGATTGTCCTTCGTGTTACCCAAAGTAAAGCCGAGCATTTAGAAACTGTTTTCCTTGGCATTTTTATTTGTTTCCATACCATTTTCAAGTTCCAAACATAGCTTCAAAGTTCAAGAAGATAAGCAACAAAACTCCTGCTTACCTTTAAACTTTTCAGATGTTTCTTCAGATACCGTGCATTGGAATCCTGTATAAGTCGTTGTACTGAAGGCATACATGTTCTTCTTTGCTTCTTCCATACTGAAGCAAATAATTCAACTCAAAACAGAGAGAAGATACGATCACCTCGTAAACTCCAAGGCCGTAATATTGTAATACACGAATATGCCATAATAAGAGCATCACACGCATTACTAGTTCTTTTACTTGTTTACCCTCATGACAGACAATTATATCTATCACGACGAAGCATATTCTCCATTGGGGTCAACTACAAGATTGAAAAGTGTGTGTTGTGTGGGCTCAAGAAGTTGCTAATCACTTTCTCCCACATCTTTTTGCATTCATTATCTCAGTTCTGGGCTATATTGAATGAAAAAATTGAGTTTTTTTTCTCATTATTCCCTCCACAATCGTATCTACTTTTGAGCGTAGCTCAGTTGCCTGATAGCTTGGATCATAACATGAGGGCTCAAACAAAAGCCTTATCATTATCTTTCTCACAGAATACAAATTAAAAAAAAAAGAAAACATTGATGCTACGAGAAGTCGTTGGGAGAAAGCTTCAAAAGATATGAAGAATCAAAATTAAGAAGAAAACAAAAAGAGAGAAATCGAAATTGAGACCTTCCAAGAACAGTGGCGAGAGTGTTGAGGTAAGTGTCAATCATCTGGTCTCGAGTGGGGGAAGGGTCCTTGGGGAACTCCAACACAACAAGCCAGTGCTTGTAGTCACACCCAGGAAGCATAATAGTCTCCCTTTCATCCTTGACGCTTCTCCTCACCGAATACTCCCCATTTCCGGCGGCTCTCGGGGGATGAATTCCCGATCCGACTCGGGGTTTGAGGGTGCAGGGGACGAGTGGCGGCGAGAGGGAACTGGGGAGAAGGGGGAGCGAAAGAGATTGCAATGTCGGGGGGACTTTAGGAGGGTTTTCGGAGCGGGAGAATTGGGGAATTAGGGTTTTGAAGAGGGGAGAAAGACTGATAGCTGCCATTTCTCGCCGAGGAGATGATGGTAGGGAATACTGATTACAGACGATTTTAGAAGACGAACATCGCGAAAGAAGATTGCACTCTTGAGTCTTGAGTTAGTTTGGTTGGATAAAAAAAACTAAAACAACAATATAAGAAAGTAATAAAATAAGAATTTTATATTTTTAAATTTGAAATAAGAGTTAAAATATCCCCGGAGTATATACATTGTCAATCTTGATCATATATATTATTAAAAAACGGTAAGTCCAAAATGACACCAGTGCTACTGGTGTCATTTGCTTACACCAGTTCGTTTGGGGTACCTACGGTACTCCGTTTGTAAAAACAACGGTTCCTACCCCCCTAACCCTCCCCCTAAACCCCCCACCCCAGCCCCACCCTTGCCCCCCCACCCCAGCCCCCCCTCCCTGCCAGGGTAGGGAGGGGGGCGGGAGGGGGTGCTGGGGTGGGGGGGCAAGGGTGGGGCTGGGGTGGGGGGTTTAGGGGGAGGATTAGGGGGGTAGGAACCGTTGTTCTTACAAACGGAGCACCGTAGCTACCCCAAACGAACTGGTGTATAAGTAACTGGTGTCATTTTAGACGCTCCCTATTAAAAAATATTGTAAATGTTCATATACTGTATCATATTTTTACAGTATAAATTTTTATTTTGGAATAAAAATATGGCGCTCGTATTCTTGTACTTTCTCTATATTTTATTTTTATTTATGGTTATCTCTTTAGTTTGGTCGTCATTCAAATTATCGGCTGCCTCTGACATCAAAACTAATGGTAAAGGGTGATCCAAATTTCTTAAAAAGTTTCATTCGTAAAATTGATTGTTCCTACCTCCTAACTTTTCCTAAATCACATGTCTCCCGCCCTACACCCACAATCCCTCTTCACCCTCTCCCCCTCTCATTCATCGATTGGCTCCCGTGGCCACTGTAGCCAATCGACGAATGAGGAAAGCAGGGGATTAAAAAGGATATGAACCATCAGTTTTACCACGAAGTTTTATAGCAGGTTTGGTAAATATTACGATATTCGAATCGAATGATTCATAATTCATGGTTCTCAAACTGGTCCTTCTAACTATTTGTAAAAATATGAATAAATTAAATCATACAAAGTAGCTCAGAGGGCATCCTTCATTTTTTGGTCATCTAAATCTTATTTAGCTTCTAAATGTGTTTTAGCAACTTAATATTACCTTCACTTCAATCATATCATTTATATTACATTTGTATAGAGTTATTTTACACAAAAGAGGCGTCTTTAACACTGCAAAATCTTACACGGAAGCATTTTACATGGCTGTGAAATAATGCCCTCGAATAGTTGCTTCTCTCATAGCAACTAAATGGTCTATATCGAGTATATCTAAAGTAATTTTTAAGTTTTTAATTTTAGGCGAAGATGTTGAGTACAATAAAATAGGACAGATAATCATATTAATCGTTGGGTTGGTATCAAAACTTTGTGAAAAATAATTTAGGAAATCAAAACTTTGAATTGATGATAAGTTAACTTTTAAATCACAATAAGTTCTCATGACAACTTCAATATCTAATTTTGTTTACTATAAGAATTGAGAAAAGCTTGATAATAAATTGGGAGTATAAGAAAATTTTAGGCAAAAAGACCAAAGTAAGACTAAAACATTGAAAATATACCAAAATAGGACTTCCATGTTTTTTTTCCTGAAATAGGACTTACATTACCAAACATGGTCATATACATTACCAAAAAAAGTATAGTAATGTGCACATGTACACTGACACATTATCACATGGCAAAGTCACATTACCACAGTGCAAAGTCCTATTTTGGGAAAAAAGTATGAAAGTCTTATTTTGATACTATTCTCTATTTTTTAGTCCAATTTAAGGTGATTTCTAAAAATTTTAGTGATAATTTTACTACTGCGAATTTGAATATTTTGATCCAAAAAGTTGGGAAAAGCTTATAATAAATCAATTAAATCAAGAGATACTCTGCATATTAGAGACAAAGGGTCTATAAGAAACAAATGCATATTTTTGTTAATCCCATTCTAAAATTGTTCACAATCAAAGTTTGTTTGAAGTATTTTTTATTATTATCTACTTTTTACAGTTTTTTTAGATTACGTTTTAGAAATTAGCCTAAGGGTGGCTTCATTTTTTTAATGGGTCTAGGGCCCATAAAATCTCATGGTCAACTAACTCTGGTACAATATTTTAAAAATCGGGCCGGACGTCGATCCGGACGAGAAAGTGTGTCAAGAGCTAACCTGTCAACTCAAGAGTCAACGAACCGGTCAAATATATGTAAATAATAATTTTTTTATATTAGACATATATAGTAGTAAATAAAAGCATTTTAAATTGTATTTTTTTACTACTACATCTAGATTTTAGTTTCATTGTACATATACTATGCTACACTTTTTATTTTTATTCTACATTGGGAAATGAGTTATGTTTTAGTCGTATTTACTCTATTTAGTGCAGATTTCACTATAATATAAAGAGCCTCCAAATTTGAGAGAAAGATCAAAGTATGACTAAAACATTGAAAATATACTAAAATAGGACTTCATGTTTTTATTCCCGAAATAGAATTTAAAATTCATCTACATTACCAAACATGATCATGTACATTATCAAAAAATGATTTCTATCCAAATTATTTGGACCGACGAAAAAGAAGAGATGGGAGGGAGGGAGGGAAGAAGAGACAAACATAGGTCGTGTGTGGCTTTACAAATGCTTTCTCTTCTTCATTGAATTAAGAAGGCAATTGATTACGGAGTACTGTAAAGTATAAACGCTACTTTTTTTTTCCATTCATATTTGCATTCAAAAAAACCCAACCATAATAGCAACATTGCAATAGCATTATGGGCTCTTATTTAAAAATATTTAAAAAAATAGTAAATATTTTCAAATTAAGTTGGTGGCTGCTAGTTGAACAGATCCACCCAACTCCACTTTGGGAAAGCATTTTCTAAGAAATTATCAGTTTGAAAAAATATTTAATTATAAAAGAATATTTTGAGAACATATTTTAAGTCTAGATGATAAAAAAACCAAAGTACCTTCTATTTGACTGACATTTAACGGATATTTTCGGCAGAAGATTATTGAAGAAATATATCTCAATAACAAAGGATCACGTTGATAATTATTAGAAAGTGTCATTTTAGGAATTGACTCTAAAAAACAAAGTGAAACGCCTACCCAGGGTGTCCCTATGGCCGACTCGATAAAATAGTGAGAGAGTAAATAACAGTATAATTAATTTTAGTCCGGGAGCGCTATATATAACAATATATCCATGTTCCCTACTTATACTATAGGTGGATTTTAAAGAATCGACATATAGATCTTGACTTTAAAAATGGTACGTAAATTTGACTTATACGAAGTGTAAATTTGATGCACCTTTTTAATTAATTTTGTTTAGAAATAATTTAACCCTACTTATGTATCCAATTAAAAGCCAGGCCAAGCCAGCTTCTTGCTTAAACTTATTTAGCTTCTGTCTTAGCTTGTGGTATAGTGGGGTCATCCACTCTAACTTTTACATATGCTCAAGTGCAGCTTTAATTTTTGAAAAAAAATGCTTACATGTAGTGTTAAGGCAGCATAGAATATATATATATATATATATATATATATATATATATATATATATATATATATATATATATATATATATATATATATATATATATATATATATATAATATACTCCCTCCGTTTCTTAAAACGGTTCTTGTTTTGATTTTGGGGCAAAATAAGAAAAGTCTAGTTAACTTTCCAATTTACCCCTAATGTGATGAGTAAAAGTAAGATGTAATAGTTTAGTTATTAGTGTAAAAGTATGATTGATGTGATATGTAGGGTATGAAAAAGTATGGATAAAAGTTACTTTTTAATAGAAAAAGGAAGTGTTTTAAGAAAAACAAAAAAATGAAAGAGGAAGAGTTTTAAGAAACGGAGGAGTATATGTCTGTGTCTGTGCGCGCGCATATACACTCCTTAATTTCTTTTCTAAAATAAAAGTAATACTATAGGTTACATAGACTCCATAAAAAGTTATTTTCAAAAGTAAAAAGTATAGTTAGAAAAAAAATTAGAAGAAAATTATTGTGATGAACCACATAGGATACTTATGTCTTTAACATGCATAGGATAAACTTTTTTTAACTTCAAATTTGAACTTTTATTTGAATTATTGGTTTTTTTGACATAATAATAAAACTTTTCTTGCTAATTTGACTACAAATTATAAAAAACTACTCGAAGTATAATTAGTTACTCGTATAACGTAAATCTAATATACTCTGTAATTGGATTCATTTGAGGATAAAATTTTGATGCATCAACTTTTTGTAACATTATATATATGTATATGTGTGTGTGTGTGTGTGTGTGTGTGTGTATATACTCATTCATTAAAAATTAAGGCAGACCAATTAAAACCAACAACAACAATAATGTGGCCTTCAACAACAAGAAGGAGAAAGCAGGATCATCATCATCAACCAAATGTGGTGTTTAGCATTTGGGTTTCTGCTCTTCTCTTCTTAGTGTTCATCATCCTCCCTCTTCTCGTACTAGGTTCCCGTCGTCGTTTCGCTAATGATTCCTTTCCGAGTGTCATTTCTTATCGGATTCTGAGTCGTCGTAGCTGGCCCACTCCTTCTTCGCTCATCACCAATGATGCCGTGGCTTCTCTCACTGCAAACCCACTCGCTGTCGACAGACGAGATGGTTTTCAAGGAAAAGAAGCCGCCGCAGTTGATGGTGACGATGAACAGCTTGCTCTTTTCTACACAAATGGTTCTGTATTAGATAGGCATAATCATCTTGTTGCGGCTGCTTCTGCTCGTAATCAACCCTCTCCTTCTATAGTAAGATCATACTCCATCACTTTCTCAGTACTAAACTCTTATTTTGATTTTTCTCGGTCAATATTTGTAAACTTTGACTTTAATGTGATAAGAAAAACTGAATTCTGATATGAGTTTGCCATCATTAGGGTTCATTTTGAAATATCATATTTTTATTCAAAAAAATACCCTCTCCGTCCAGTGTGTTTGACTTATTCGAGTCAAACTGTATGAACTTTGAGTTTTAATTAAATAAAAAACATGTATATTTGTATAAAAATAATTTTATTAGATTTATTTTGTTGAGAACTTTAATAATTTGTATTATGCAATACTGTTGGGATTGATTAATTAAAAAGAAAAAGAAAAAAAAGAGAAATATGCATGCATACACATAATGCATGTGAAGTGGACCCATGATGCCATGCATGTGAAGGGGAGCTAATTGTCTCCTTCCCTTGTTTTTGGTGGTGTACGAAAGTAATGGGATGAGGATGCTTTTTTTTTTTGCCTTCACCTCTTATAAGAGGAATCTTTTTCTATATATTTGGGTATGAGTTTTACACACGTGTATAGGAGAGGGGAAAAAAATAAGAGAGGAAGGTTAAAGAGAGAGGTGTTACACAAGATATCACCAACATTGTGTGAATGAGTGTAGGGAGTAACTGGTTTTAGTTACTCGGAAAAATACATCCGGGTATAGGGTGTGAAAAGTCTGTTTATAAGTGTCTGGTATTTAGCACTTGTAAACAGGGAGAGTTTTTTGTGTATCATTCTGAAATAGTGAAGATATAATTTTTCTCTCATATATTCTCCTTGTGTTTGTTCTCTCATTTTTCTGGTGTTTTCAATATTTTTCGATATTTTACGCGCTTAAAATCCCAACAAATACAAATTGAGAGTAATTGAAGCTCAAAGTTTGTCGAGTTTGACTCGAAAATGTCAAACTGGACAAACACACTGGGACCACCATTCTTGGTCAAAAAAGCTTCCATACACAAAAACACAAAGTTTATGATTTCCATCCTAGTTTTATTTTTCTTAATTTTGCTGGAAAAGATGGTCTTTTGACGACATAGTATCAGAGTGTTGCTCCTCTAGCTAGACATCACGAGTTTGAACGGAGCGATTTTTCGTGATGTAACAGGAAGAAGAGAAAGAGAAAAAGACTAGCGGTGAAGAAATGGCATCATCAACAACAGGTGCAATTACTAAAAAGAAGGAGAAGAAGAAGGGACAGAGAAAGGTAGAGGGGATTTTGGCAAAGGCAAGGTCTGCCATTAGAAATGCTTCTAGGAGTATGGTATCCCTTCACCATGACCCTGATTATGTCCCTCAAGGCCCCATCTATCACAATGCCAATGCCTTTCATAGGTACATACCTTTATATCATATTCAAGTCAAACACGTTTCACTTAGCTGATGCGAAACGCCACGAGAACTACTTCTTTCTCGGACGAACGAATGGAGAAAGAAAATATACTTCCCCCGCTCGTCCCGGGAAAACAGTTTCACATTATTCGTTAAAAATATACTTTCCCCCGTTAAGTCAAACACGTTTAACTTAACTGGATGAATTGAATTGAAGGAGCTACTTGGAGATGGAGAGGGTGTTCAAGATGTACGTGTACTCGGAAGGGGAGCCACCAATCTTCCACAACGGACCCTGCAGAAGCATATATTCCACCGAGGGGAGGTTCATCCACCAGATGGAGAAGGGGACTCTGTTCCGAACCAACGACCCCGACAAGGCGTTGGTCTATTTCCTCCCCTTCAGCGTCGTCGTCATGGTTCAGTACCTCCACGTCCCCGGGGCCCACCACATGCACCCCATCGGCAACACCGTCGCCGACTACGTCTCCCTCGTTTCTTCCCGCCATCCCTTTTGGAACCGCAGCCTCGGCGCAGACCACTTCATGCTCTCTTGTCATGACTGGGTGAGTATACATATAATTGATAGTTTCAAACTTTATTTCAAAATGAATATATTGATATTAAATTTATATCATAAATAAACTTGGTTTGGTTTTGTACTCGGTTGTAGGGGCCATACTCGACGACTTACGTACCAGAACTGTTCAACAACTCCATTAGAGTACTGTGCAACGCCAACACCTCCGAGGGGTTCAATCCCCGGAAAGACGTCCCGTTGCCGGAAATCAACCTGAAGACGGGAGAAATTGCCGGCCTCATCGGCGGGCCCTCCCCATCCAGGCGCTCCATACTTGCCTTCTTCGCAGGCGGCCTGCACGGGCACATAAGGCACGTCCTCCTAGACCGGTGGAAGAACCGAGACCCGGACATCCTGGTCTACGACAAGCTGCCGGAGGACGGCAAGTCGTCGTACGAGTGGATGCTGAGGAACAGCCGGTTCTGCCTGTGCCCGAGCGGGTACGAGGTGGCGAGCCCGCGGGTCGTGGAGGCGATCTACGCGGAATGCGTGCCGGTGCTGATATCGGAGGGGTACGCGGCCCCGTTCAGCGACGTGCTGAACTGGAAGGCGTTCTCGGTGGCGGTGGAGGATATAGGGAGGCTGAAGGAGATACTGATGGGGATATCTGGGAGTCAGTATGTGAGGATGCAGAGGAGGGTGAAGCAGGTGCAGAGGCACTTTGTGATCAATGGCCCTCCCAAGAGATTTGATCTCTTCCACATGGTTGTTCACTCTATCTGGCTCAGGAGATTGAATGTCCGCCTCGCTTCATGATATTATTGCTGCCTTGAAATTTTGGGTTTTTTCTGTCTCTGATTGAAATTATTTTGGTTTCCATTTCTATAAGAACGTGGACTTCAGGTATTGGTTTTTTCTTTGAGATTTGTGAATCACTTGCAAATTAAAGCAATTTCAACGGTGTTTTAATATACTACCTCCTTTCCTGAGTATTTATCCAGTTTTGACCGAAAAAAGTCAAAAGTAGACAAATACTCAGGAACGATAGGAGTATGTCGGAGAAAATTTGTACAAAATACTGGTTCACCGGGAGCGAAAAACGAATCAAAACTTATTTCTTTACAAAGTTCGTATGTGACCAAGACTCCTTTTACCAATACGGAGAAAGAGCAGATGATCTCTAACACTCATACATACCAATGTATAACGGACCTTCAACATAACTGCAAGAGGTGGCTACTCGTGCTTCACCACATTCACTCGTGATTTCATTCACTAGATATGACAAAGTGTTTCTCATTAAGCATAAAAAAAATTCAAGAATAATATATACTCCGTATTATTCAGTATTTAAATCATGTCATTTTGCATGCATATACATAAAAGCAAATTCAACAAGACAATTTAGACAAATTTGTTGAGATGAACCATCAAAGCTACTCACGAAGTATTTGAATACTAATTTCATATGGATCATTTGAATACTTTAGTTTTTCGTCATTGTACATAACGTCTCCTGAACCACTTAAAAGCATCCCGAATTCTCATAGCATCCGCTAGCAAAGCGCACTCCAACTAACCCAAACCTTGGGACGACCTGCACATTAATCTTCCTTGCTCGTCTAGCACCACCATTTCCACCCGGGCAATCTTGGCGGACAGGTTAAAGCTTGCATCAACATTACACTTCAAACTATTTGGTGACGGGGGAACCCATGCCTCATGCCAATCGGCTATCCCACCATCCACACCCAGCTTTGGTGTATTCGCCTCGAGCCAATCAATATACCAACAAGTCACCTTTGAAACCAGCCCCTCCGCCATCATGCTCTTATTATGCCATACAAGTTGATTTCTTTGTCCAGAACTCCCAAAGTAGAATACCCAATCTGCCTATTTGGTGGGATTTCCTCCCTTGCCTTGTTTGATCCAGCCACATACCAAAAGAGGTCCCCATGGGAGGAGTTCCCCTTCAATCAATTGATAGAGGTGCTCGGCAAAGCCACACCGCACCAGGCAATGAAAACCTGACTCCTCCATAAAATTACCATTTGTGAAAGATTAAATGTGATAGTAAAAACAACACTTCGAGAGGCTAACTTCGAGCCAAGAATTTCAAGAAAACTTCATTTCGTAATTTATTTAGAGACTATGTGAGACTTGGTAAAGCCTTGAGCTGATTATTTAAATGCCATGTTGACAATCAACCAAATAATGAATTGCAGTTTTTATTAAAAGGACAAATTGCAAAACTCATTTTCCAACACTGAGCAAAGCAAAGATAAAGAGGGTACAAAACAAATAAAAACATCAAAACTTATCAAATTCATATCATATCATACCTAAATAAAACCAAACTAGAGTTTGCAAACTACAAAACCTTTCTCGAATCCAAATGCACAATTATCTTGCCAAGAATTAGGAATATTCAAGACAGCAATCACCTAATGTTTAAGCTTTTAAGGAAGAGTTTAAGAATAAACCTGATGCTTAATCCCTCCACATCAGCCTGGGCATCACTCTTCAGAAAGAGTGATAGAAAGTTGCACAACAATCTCCTCCCGAGATGGTGCGGCAAATCGCCCCGAGCCAGATCAAAAACACCATAATGCACGTAGTTCAACTTCGCAATACCAAATAGGCAAATGTCACCTAAATAAAATGTAATATAACCCAAGGCATTTAGTATAACAGCACTGTGCTATCACACTTAATCAAGAAAAGCCATGGAAAAGAAATGAAATCTGTGGGAAAATAAAAATGCAAAGAAAAGGGCAAAAAAGAAGAAGAAAAACGAGACAGAATAAAATGCTCAAGGAATAATCTGACCAACACCAGCCCTGAGCTCTAGTATGATGTACTCCTTGTTAAAATGGAGCAATGTTGCAATCTCAAAAACTGAAATAGGCTTCAAAATCAGCCAAATCACTTCAATGTTCAGAAAAAAAGAATTAAATTTCAAAAAATTGAGTTTCTGTAACTAAAAACCAACATTAAAGAGGGAAATTTCCTGGCACAAAAAATAAAGTCCACCATTTCTAATTTTTATAGATTAGAAAAGAAAGTAAAATGAAGAGAAAGAACGAAAATAAACACATGCAAAGGCACAAAGAAAAAACACTGATTCTGATAATTGAACCTTCAGGCATGAAAATCATCATCAGGTCCTGGAGCAAAGCCGTTGAAGCTACAAAGAGCAAAGATCACAAGGATAGAGATAGACAGATATAGAGATAGAGAGAGATAGAGAGAGAGAGACGGGTGTGTATGCGGCGGCGTGGCGGAGGCGGAGGTGAGGAGCGAGCAGCAAGCGAAGGAGATCCCAAATCGCATTCAGATTGAAAACTATAAATTCTGGAAATTTCCCATCATTTCATGGATATGATTGATCAGTGTTTTCGTTGTCCACATGTTTTGCGCATCTCCCTCGGAATCCGCCGCTTCAAGCTCGCCGCTTTCCTTCCTCCGCCGCGAATTACGCCTACCGCCAATCCCGGCCTCTGCAATGAGCTCCAACGGCCGCTCCCTGCCCTAAACACTTCCGGCCCCTCCTTTATACGGAGTCTTTAGGGTTTAGATCTGAAACGCTGTCGTTTGAAACACAAAAATTACACCTTTCATTGGTTTTCTTTCGGGGAATTTAGGTAAATAACGCTAAAATATAATGATTTTTTTCTAAATAGCATTGTTTCCCAATGTAGCCCTTTTAATCATTATCCATTAGTCATTATTCAAGTAAATGTTCGTCATCACTGGACATTATTAAGTGCTCTTTAGTAAATAAAAGTCCTATTAAGGAAATGACTTAAGCTTTAGTGCTATTTACTGCAAATATTTCTTTTCAAAATGTTACTCAGTAGAAAACACCAAATTTGACAAAGAATTAGACATGTACAAACAATGGTCGGCCCGTCCGACCTGTCCTTTAAAAAGGGCAGATAGAGACAACCTCTAATACCCATTTGTGCGAGCTAACACAAGCTTAAATTGTATTTGGACGGATTTGGAAGTTACTTTTAGCTCATCTCGGCTAACAAGCCCGCCATATTTATCAAATAAATTTAAATTTATTATTAATTACCTAGCCAAAATAAATTTTGAAATTTTCTATAATTTATACTCCCTCCGTCCCCCAGTTTTTGTCCATTTTTTACTTTTGGAACTATTCATCTAAGCACTTTGACTCATCAAATTCTCTCAATGTGTAAGCCTAAATATAGTCATGTGTGATCTTGTTTGATTTGTCTTAACATATAGATTATTAATATATAATTTCTATAATTTTTTAATATACAAATTACAAGATAAAATAGATTTAAAAAGTGCATTGGATGGTGTGTAAAAATGAAAGTGGACAAATACTCTGAGACGGAGGGAGTATATAATAGTTTAATGTAAATATAGTGACTAGTGATTTTATTTTAAATATTGGAAAAAGAGTTCGATGTTTTTTTTGAATTTTTTTGTGCAAAAAGGAATTTCTTTAATTCATAATAATAATAATAATAATAATAATAATAATAATAATAATAATAATAAATTAATACTTATATTAACTATGTGAAAAATACATCATTTTAGAGTCATTTTTTGAAGAAACTATAAAAGGGTTTGAAGATGATGAGAATAGTAAGAAAAATATGAAAGGAATTGAAAGAAATTAAAAAAAAAATTAGGTACTAATTTTGTCATTAATTTGATGGATGAAAAAAATGAAGGTAGTGGGATAAGAACAAAAAAATTAACTGGGTCACTGAGAGTTACTCCGTAATTAATGGAGTAGGTTATTTTCCAACTATTCACGGGATCAAATTTTATCCACTTTATTAATTTATTTTCATTGTCAATTTGATAAAATAATAAAGTCATATTATCTCTAGTTTTGTAGATCTTTTGGAATATTTTTTAATATATAATTTTTATTTTTAAATTCTATACAATTTTTCATATAAAATGATTTGAATATAATTTCAATCAAACATTGTAACGCGTAACGAGAAGATAATTTCTGGACGTAGTGAATAACAATCAAGAGAGTAGTGAATACTAGGGGTGTTCAAAAATATCCGATCCGAAATATCCGTCCACGATCCGAGCCGATCCGATCCGAAAAATGGATATCCGATCCGATATTTTAGCTTGCGGATATTTCGGATCGGATACCCGAAAAAAATCGGATCGGATATGGATTAAATTTTTGGATTTTTTTGGATAATCGGATATCCGATTTTTTTTTGCTATATGTTTTTGGAATTTTATGGATATATATTATGACTATATGTTTAAATGTAATTTTATGTTGATTTTGGAAATCACCCATTTTGGACTTTTTGCATTAGCATTTTAGAATTTTTTGTTTTAATAGTGTTTTTTTTCTTGTTTAGGCAAAATTACCAAACTTACTCACAAATTAAATTTAGTATCATTTTTTTATTAGGCCATTACCAAATACCAAGTGGTGGAATTTTTCTTTTAGTAAATCTATATTGAATTTGATATTTTGGGTTGATTTTGCTATTTTACCTTTTTTTTGTAAATTTTGTCTAAAAACTCAACTTTTCGGATAATCCAGTGATCCGATCCGAAAAATCGGATATCCGAATATTTTCGGATTGGATATGGAATGAGTTTTGCATGATCTGAAATTTTCGGATATCCGAATTTTCGGATCGGATCGATCCGATTGAACACCCCTAGTGAATACTCAGTGAGAAAAAAAAATTTGGGACGAAGGGGTATGATATTCATTTAGATACAAATCTAATGACATCAATTTTGTGTGGATTAAGTTTAACCAAATTTGATCTCAGAAGTCAAAACGGGAACAAATCAATAGGAGAGAAGGAGAAAACCATATTTCTCATGTGCCAAATCTGAAAAGCAGTTCAATTTCATGGAGAAAAAACAGTACTAGTCCAACCCCAGCTTCATACTTTAGAAAATCAATCCCCCCCAGATACCACAAACTGATGGATGGATGGCATTGTCAAGTTTATAACGACAACAAAACTCAGACTTAAAATGTGACATGTTGCTGCAAAGGAAGTTCTTTGTCGGAATACGGAAAACAACCAAATCAAGACCCTACGGCGTTCGCGAGGGAGAGAGCATTGGCATCTGGCTGGCTTTTAGAACAAAACTGAGATATGGCTGTGTCTGATTCCTCACTTTCCTTGCAGCTGATAGGCGAACCACTTGCCATTTTCCTGTTGTGATCAGATATAATTAACTTAATGCTGGGTAAAGGCATAATCTTTTAGGTTTCTTTCTCATTGTCTGGGAAGGCTTAGTATATGTAATTCATGTAGGAAACATTATATCACAATATAGGCTAAGCACTCCATGATCTTTCCTTCCAAAACACCCAATCCAAACAGGCGCCAAGTCTATATCATAGTGTTTAATTGAGATTTTAAAAATATTGAGATTTGAGGGAATAACATAATAGGTAGATCATATAGCATTTTAGTTGACTTCATTTATTTTTAGATCCATTTTGTTTGTCAAGATATAGACTAAATCCCCCCTTAGCCTTTTCTTCCAAACCTTCCAAATTGCTCCATTCAAAATTGCGGTTGTAAGTTGGTATACTTCATTCCTATCTTTCTCAAAAGAAAATGAATTGAATTATTTATTTTTACCTCTGTGAGACGAGTGTTTCTTCAGACAATGCCTTCTCCAATCTCTCTTCAAATGGTGTCGCATGCCAACTAACTTTTTGATCCTGGTAAAAAAGTTTTCAATAGTTGAGAAGAGGGGGGAGAAAAAGCAATGAAACAGCCTCACACAAGATAACCCACCTCTTTGTACTTATGGGTAGAATTTGGGATTCCGTTTCCATCCCACCATTTAGGCGAGACATGGGTTACTTTACTTTCAGTCCAATGAGCAGCAACCATTCCAAGTATCGGCCGATCTCCCTGAGGTATGCCGCTATGAGCACCAGTTTGTTGGTTGAAAGGCTGTTTCAACCAAGAAGACAGACTTGCTTCAACATTCACATTGTTCTCCGTTGTCTCTGTGAGTCCTGTTTTTGGGGTTAAGTTCACTTCACTTAGCGATGATTTGGAATTAGAATCTTGAATGGATACGAAATCTTCTTCATCTGTCACCTTCTTCAACTGAGAAACATTCTCAATGGGGTTTAGAACGGCATACACGTACTGTGACCTGATGCGGGGATTCTTACCGTTTGGCAGATGTGTTGAAAAAACAGTACCAGGTGTTTGCATCTCATCAGTTAGCTTCATAGGAGTTGGGTAGGGAGAAGGCTTTGTGTTTCGACTAGTGACTTCAGTAGGCTTTCTGTCAGACTGGCAGTCAAAATGAACATGTCTCTGTCTACAAGCAGTTACTGATGGCACTGTTGGAGGCGGAGATGATGAGATTGAAATACTATTACTCTCTTCCTCATAAGTCATGCAGCTGCAGGTTGAGCAACACATTCGTAAAAGTAAAAATTAATCATTTCAGTTAGAAAAAATAACTTATACTGTGATACACCCATAGGAGAAAGAAGGTTATATGGATCAATATCTACGATGCCATCTTACCGAAGAAGAGGATTTGCAAAATTCTAGACATGGAATGATCAAGTGAAAGAATTAAATCGAACACGTGTGATGGATTTTAATCCCGTCAATAAATCGTAAGCATTGGTAATGTCATGAACACAATATGACATTAAAATGCCACTTGGTAATAGGTAACCACTCTTTTGGCCAAGATTTTACGCAATTCTGCCAATTTATTTGACTGTGTACATGAGAAAAATAGAGATGGACATACTCTTTTTTAATACTGAAATGTCTTTTTCTGTGATGCATTTTTCTTTAATTGATTGTCTAATGAAATGTAATTTAAACATACTTCTGCTTTCAATAAAATGTTTCACTTTTCTTTTTAGGAAGTTAACTAATAATTGTTCGACTTTCCTCAACAATATTAGGGTTTGGGCTTTGGGGGACAGCAACTAAGCAAAAGCGGCTAGTATTTTTCTAAACAATGTGGCAATTTCAGCTACTGCATTGATATTAGCCTCAAGTTCAGCCAAACTCACTCTTATGAAATGGGCTCTTAATATGATTACAAAACATTGATGGCTTAGAAGCTACCATAAGACAGTCACTAGATTGTTCAGAATGCTACCTGCTAGGTGTATGGAGGGAAGAGCCTGATCCCTTTACCCATTCATCGCAAACTTTTGTAGGTTTAGGAGAGTTGTTAGGCTGTAATTCCAGATCTTGGTTCTCAACAGGTGTGTCAGGGAGCCATGAACCAAATTTCAAAGGTTGATCAAGTTCCGCCTTGTGAGGTGACAAATCCACCCTGCATTTATTATTTCCTTTAATGGAGAGTTTTCGAATTTCAATTGGGGTCTCAGGTAAGGTTCCACAGGCTTTCAGGAACTTGGCCTGCACAACAACATTATTTGACTAAAATAAGATAAGGCACATTATAAAAGCTCTAAAATCTTCATCTCCTATACAACAAGGTGAAATCTGTCAGCAAACAACATAACTATAATATCATTCATGATTTACTAGTATAGGCAAAAACTTTCATATTGAATCTGGATAAGGGTTTGTAGTAAGGCACATTATAAGAGCTCTAAAATCTTTACTTCCTCCTATACAATTAGGTGAAATCAGCCGGAGAAAAACATAACTAAAATATCATTTATGATTTACTAGGTAAGGCAAAAAACTTTCATAATGAATCTGGACAAGGTTTTGTAGAAAGGCACCTGATCCTTGAGCTCATTTACATCCAACTCAAGCACTGGAGTTGGACAGCCCAGCTTCTCTACTCCCATGGTCTGCAAACTACTTTGCTCTTCATTTTCTGTGTATTTTAGATTTAAAAAAATGTGACTCGTCTTCAAATACTAATTCATCACAATAGTAAACTTAAAATTATCAATAAATTTGGCAAAAAGGGGTTGAATAAAAGCTACCTTCAGAAATAAATAATGAAGAAAGTGGACTCCGATTCCTTGAGGCAACAGGTTCCTGATCGTATATCGAAACCGCTAGTATGTGATTGAGAAGCTCAAACAAATGAAAAGAGATGCTAATGAAATTTGCAAATCCCGCTATCAATTAAGCGAAAAATATAGAGGCTTCCATGATTAGATTGCACTTATCCAATTCATGCTTATATCATACTATTGAAGCAGTTCAATGCATATTCTGAAGAAAAACTTCACAAAATTGAAAACAAAACACAGAAAGGAAGGCATACGTTGGCACCAGAGACACATGGAGAGGGAGAGGCATTATCAGAGGGAGGAAGATGACGATCAGCTGCGGAACCAAAGCGGCCTAGCCGGAAACAACCGAAAAAACATCCCATCGCCGGAACAAGCGCCGTAGCCGCACATCTGACGCCGCAGTAGTCAAGTCAGCTAGCGGCGATCATTGTAGTGAGGCGGATGGATTGGATGAGAGCGAATCTAAACGCGAAAAATGCGATAACAGCTGATTAACAATTAAGGACTTTCCAATCACATCGCTTGCGAATTGCAATTCAGTTCAGATGAAAAGTAACTGATAGAGAGAGAGAGAGAATTTAAAGATGATGCTTCGCTGGATGGTGGTGGTAGTCCTGCTTCATCAAGCGTCTTTTTTTGAAATTCGAACGGGGACGAAGAGGGAAACTTATTTCTAGGGATTCTAATCTCTTTCTCTCTCTCATATTTCTTAATTTCTTTAAGACATTTACAATATTTGGTTTGTAGAATTGATAATTCTTATTTCACTAATTATCTTATAAAATCATCATTTGACCTGTTCGAACCCACCCCCAACCCATTCAATTTCATCCAATAAAAATAAACAAAAATTTGATTTACAGACTGTTTTTTAATACTATTAGTATCTTTGATAAAATTTTAATGGTACAGATTATATTTGAAAATATTACAACTAAGCCTTGTCGTAATAGTTTTTTCGAATTGGTAACACTAAACGCTAATCATGTTCCCAAATTCACCCAAAAATACTCTTCTCCAAGTGGTCTATTCACATATCAAATGTTTTTTAAACTATTTTTGTTAGTTATTTTATTTCTTACTCTGTATTTTATAGAAAATTTGATATACCCCATGAATTTTTATATACAAGTTTTATTTTGGAGTTTTATAGAATTATTTAATTAAGAAGTAAATGGGAAAATTTCACTTTTTATTGTTGCGCATAAGGTTGGAATCTCTTGGACAATGTGTTATCATGAATATATATATCTCCAATGTCTTTTGCCCATTGTCTTTTAGATTTTGATAATGACAAAAAGGTAACAAAAGATCACCATCATATTGTGCATCAGGGCTAAAATCAAAACTACAACAAGTTCATATCCGTTTGTGAAGAAGGGACTTGAGCATCGATCTAAGGTTCATTCCCTTATTATCCTACCTTCAAAACACCTTTTAGATCTTTTATTCGAATAACCTTTGGTTTATTCGAATAAGTTGTGAATTTTCCAGTGACTGAAAATGCACTGTCTTATTCAAATAATGCATCGTTTATTCGAACAAATGTAGTATTTTTAAGCCAAAAAAGTTCATTGATTTATTCGAATAACTGAGGATTTATTCAAATAGTAAGGCAGTTTCAACTTCCAAATGGCTATTGTTTTCAAACCCTTTGATCCATAACCTCTCCCCAACTTCTATAAACTTCCATCATTCGTGTTTATCTTTGGAAGAACATCAAGAACACTTTGAATAACATATCATTTGAATATCCAAAGAAAATCTACTCAATCCCCTTCTAATATCCAAGCAAGACAATTGTTTTGATTGCTAAATCCTTTCTTGTTTAAGTTTATCCTTATTGCTTGAGTCTTTGAGAGATTTTGCCATATCTATAGGACTACATTGTATTTGCAGCAATCTACTCCATTCTGGGAGAATTATTCCGCAGTGGTTTGTTTTCTTATTTTTTGCAAGGGATTTGTATCTTTGGTGTTGTAATTACACCAAGTGGTAGAAATCCTAACAGTTTGTGAAATCAAACATTAGGTGGAAGAAATCCTAAGTCTTGTGAAATCAAGACTTCGGTGGTAGGATAAGAGGCTTGTGAAATCAAGTTCTCGAGTTGTATTCGGCTTGTCAAACTCCGTTAAGTTTGACGGGTTAGTGAAGGCTCGGTCACGTTTGCTTCGGAGACTGAATGTATGCATTTAGGCCGAACCAGGTTATATCGTGTGTTCATTGTTTTTATCCTTCACTTAATTTTGTTTGTGATGCGTTGGTTTTAATCGAGTATTTGTCAAGAACGCTTCCATGTGAAAACTCGTCATTTGGGCAACACATCTATTCACCCCCCTCTTGAGGTGTGCAAGGTGTCTAACAGAATCTTGTAATCTCCCTTTCCAATTTCATTCTCTCTCTTCATTTATCTCACATTTTGTTACTCCATATGAATTTACTCTATTATGTTTTGAAATCCCTCTGTCCCCACTGTGATTAGTCCAATATTTTAAAATCCAAAATGAGACACCTTATGTGTCCGGCAATCTTTAAGAAAAAGTGTTTTAACATTTGAATATTTTGGATTCTAAAAGCCTTAGCATTAGGTAACATTGGAATGCTATGTTTAGCATTCAAGTGTTTTTGGACTTTGGCATAGAAATGAGATAGAAAGATGTCTTAACATTTGAAGCTACAAAGGTAGCATTGTACCCCGGAGTAATACATGCTAAGTCAGTGTATGAAATTGTATTAGAATTCGAATACTACTACACAGTATTTGAAAACTACCACCGAGTAGTATTCAAATGATATTCAAAAAGCTACGTTAGTTCACTCTAAATGTCATGTCTGGTTTGATTTTCTCTATAAAATATAAATATAGAGGTCTTATGGTATGATGTATACAGATATAGAAGATCATATACTCGGTTCTAAACAATTTACTTTGTACGTCTTATTAAATTGAAGTGTTTTGAAATACCACAAAAATAACTTTAATTCGAAAGAGATTAAGCTATTCATAAAGTATATTCCTCCTTTTTAACTACCTTTTCAACTACTATATTATACTTGAACACTTTAACTCTTCTATATCGCTCAAAATAGGACGTGTATTAAAATGATTTCACTAATCTGGATCTAACTTTTTGTTGATCGCCTCTATTGATCATAATAATCACACTTTAATACAAATAAAAGGAAAGAGAACCGATAATCTTTGTGCTTGGTTGAAAAAGGAAAAAAATGGGCAGTTTTGACAGAGTTATAGAATCATCCATTAATTCAAATTTTCAAATTTACTAAAAACAGCCTTTATATGATCTAGAAGTTAATTATCATTTCTTTTTCGACTACACAATACTTTAAATTAAAACAAAGTTTAAACATGCAAGAATAACTTATTAGGTCATTTCGGCATAATCATCCAAAGTAAACAGCTTCTGGATTTACCAAACTGCCTTAAAAATCTTACACTCGAACTTCACTAATATAAATAAAACATATAGTAGTAAGTCTAAAAACATTCAACAATAATAGTAACTGGTACATGATGAATCAGTAAAACGGGTGAGGCGCAAATACAGGCATCATCAGTTCAAACACTATCCATCACAGAAGGGAATAGAGAAAATCGAAGCGTCCTACAGGAGGACTATTACAAGGACGAGGGGGGTGCTTGACCTCTCGTTCAACTAACCAACCATTGGCTCGGGATTGCCCGCTGCCAAAATATCCAAGAGAGATTCATGTGCCTCAATCTCTTCGTGCCATAGTGGAAGAGTGTCACCCGGGAAAAATTTCCTTTCGACACCTTCTGAATTTATCTGCACAAGTGTGTGGTGTTAATAACTACAAATCCAAGAGACATCAAACGGTTTTGTTTTGTGGTTGCAACTTGCAACAATATCACTGTCATCTCTACCAAGAAGCCAAAAACAAGGCTCCCTTACGGGGTGTGTTGAATTCATCATTGCCATACGTTTCTATAATGGGACATGCTCACCGTGAAAATGAATGATGATTGTGGTGGGACCCTTATCAGGCCACTAAAGTTACTTAGAAAGAGGGAACGATGTTCACTATCACCCAGACCAAGCATGTAAAGTAACATAGATTCATTGTAATTTTATGAATACGGGACATGCACATTGACAAAGTAGATACTTATAACTACTAAATCATCATAAGGACTTACAGTCACAGTTCGAACAACACCACCGCTAGCCCCATCCCGAGCAATGGCAAGTGACACGGCTTTGACTACCAACTTCTGTGTAATGAATAAAGAAAACACACTGTCATTTTCAAGCCCACTACTAAAACAATCTGAAGTCAACAACGCCTTGGACCATAATCATCACAAAAATCACGAGGTATGCATAAATAATTGAAATACTGTGTGAGTGTGTGCAATGTAAAGTAATGAATTTGCATTCAAATGAAATACTAATAACAATGAGATCGAGAGTAAGAGTAAACCTCAGCCTCTTCTTTGGTCATTCCTTCTTCCCATGCCTGATCAAAGAAGCCGTATAAATAGGAGGAACCAGATCCTGTGTGTACATTGAAATGCATCACAAATGTTTCCACATCCAATATTCCAATCACAACAAGTGACTAATAAAACAAGAAGCATTTAGAGCACAGCAACAATATCCATCTGTAACCTTAATAGATTACATATTTATAATGAGGGGATTTCTAGTAGTGTTTGTGCATCAAAGCTGTGATGTCAGTGGTTTTGATCTTAGTGACATGAGTAAATGGGTGACTGGTTTAGACTAATATGGAGTATAATATTCACCAAATCATACAAAAGAGCAGTTGCAGAATAAAATAAACAAAAGTAGACCCAGAAAGGAAATAAACCTCCAATGGCAAATGGCAGCTCCAATAGTGTGCCTCCAAGAGGTATTCCATATATTTTGCCACCCTCGTGTCTGTCCCACCCACCAACGATAAGCCCAGTTTGTAGCATGCTCTAGACAATTCAACCAATGCAGCGCACATAATAATCAATCATAAGATGAAATAACCACAAATGGCAACATGTAACTAATATTAGTAAGTGAAAATGAAAATTCTAAAACTCCATACATGCATTGAACAACAGAAAATAACTTCAACACTTTATTATCAAAAATTAATTGCCATCAAATTATTACTCTGAAAACTTCGTGTATGGTCATGACTCACAATTTGACAACGCCAAAGTCCAAACGTCATGATGCAAATAACAGGCATAAAGAAAAAAAATACCAAAGTTTAAGCTTGGAGGAAGTGTTGGACTAGTGTACACAGTGACATACTTAGATCTCCCACTCCCCAGGGCATGTTGGATGCCAAAAGCATGTATCCCTCTTAGTTGGAGAGTGGGGGTGGCAAGCATGTTTTGCTTAAGCTTCATGTGTGTCCCTCAAATGGGGAAATTACGGATGACAGATCAATGGCAATGCTTAAAGGTCAAGGGAAATGAACAAGAGTGGAACATAGTGTCTTTTGTGCCTATGTATGAGATAACACTAATGTCTATATGAAGATATCTATAGCT